CAGAGTATTTCCTTATTCTTATGTATTCTTACTTATTTTAGTTTTATAAATTTTCTAACCCAGTCTTCTCCAGTTCCTCCATATATAGTGACAACGGTTCTGTATATCAAAGGGCATCTATCGATATTCTTCAATTAATATCTCCCTTACTGTAATCTTTCCACGGTATCGCTTTTGTTTTAATAGTATATTTGCGTATGCTTACACTCCTAACTCATGTGATGCATACATACAGAGATGAATATACATGCTGTAGTATTTCTTCACACAGGTGTTTTCTATGTTTTTCCTCTAGCTTGGCTGTCCACCCCTATTTCAGTTAGACACACACTCACTGCTCCCTGCTCAGAGGCTCATAGAAAGCATGAATACTTCCCCACATATGATCAAAGTGGGGTCATGTTACATTTCTGCATTTTGCCCTTGTCACTAAAAAGTTATATTAAGTCTCTATTTAGGGATGTGGGTTTTGTTTTTTCCCTTATTCACTGCACCTACCTAATATATCTCAATAAAGTACTTTTATTTTAGAAGCATATATTGTCAATATTGTTTTTTATTAAATATTGTAGTGTGCCTATCCATGGCACACTTTTTTTTTGATTTCAGAGAGGAAGGGAGAGAGGGAGAGAGAGATAGAAACATCATCAGTGATGAAAGAATCACTGATCAGTTGCCTCCTGGTTTATAGGTTGATGCTCCACCACTGAGCCACACCATCCAAGCCTTGTTTTATATTTTATTAGTTGTTGCCAGGTAGATAGTACACTATAGCCACAAGGGTATATAGTATGGTTACATTTTTTTATTAGTCAACAATACACTGAGTGATCAGATTATTATGATCTCTGAACACAATAATCTGGCCACTCTGTGTGTGTGTGTGTGTGTATATGTGTAGATAGATAGATAGATAGATATAGACATATAAATATATTAGAGACCCAGTGCATGAATCCGTGCATGGGTGGGGTCCAGCCAGCCTGGCCAAGGGAAGAGGACATGGGTGGTTTGCAGGCCTGCCTGCTGGTTGAACTTCTGGTCGAGGGGACAATTTGCATAATAGCCTTTTATTGTATAGTATATACACTGAGTGGCCAGATTATTATGTGTTCAAAGATCATAATAATTTGGCTATTTCGCTCATTTAAAGTGGATTTTAGTACATCACAATTGTAGGACGTTTTCATCACTTCAGAGATGCGTTCAGAGATCATAACAATCTGGCCACTCAGTGTATGTGTCTGTTTACCCCTCGCAGTGTTACTTTAAGTTTTGCCAGCCTGGCGGAAACAGAGTCTCTCTTTCTGGCTGTGTAGCCCTCTGTTCGCGGTCTCCTAGACCTGGCCCTCCTTTCAGGGACTGGGAGTCGGAGTACTCGGGGCGCATTGCTGCCTCATTGCCACGCTGTGTTCCTGAGGACCTAAAGCAGTCAGCAGACGGAGAGGGGCATGGGCTGGGGTCTGGGGGAACCAGGCACCAGCTCCCAGTAGTTTCCCAGTGGTCACTCGGGGCACTCACTCCTCTAGCGAGGCTTTGTGATGACACAGAAGATATCCTCAGTCAGCGGGGAGTATTACGTGGTGGGACACGGGCACCGCTGTCTGGGACAGAGCCGAGTTCCAGGCGTGCGGAGGAAGCAGGGTCTGGAGAAGCCATGCTGCTGCCCGTTCAGGTGCAGAGACACCTTCCCAGTCGCTGGGCTGGGTGGGAGTCCTCCCGAATCGAATCCTAAGCTCCCAGAGCCAAACCCTCGAAAGAGGCTTTTCCAAGGAGAGCAAACGCTAGCTCACCAGGTGGTCTTTTCTTTCCGTAAAAAGAGCCTTTTATTGAAATACTAGAGGCCTAGTGTGTGACATTCGTCCACTGGGGGTGGGGTGTGTCCCCTCAGCCTGGCCTGTGCCCTCTTGCAGTCCAGGACCCATTGGGGGATGTCCGACTGCCGTGTTTAGCCCTGTCCCACTGAGCCAGAAGCTGGGCTGGCTGATCCTTAGCACTGCCACGGAGGAGGGAGAGGCTCCCACCACCACTGCTGCGCTCGCCAGCCGTGAGCCCGGCTCTGGCAGAGCGGTGATGTGCTCTGAGAGCATTCCGACTACGGGGCAGCTCCTGTGCGAGCATCTGCCCCTGATGGTCCGTGTGCATCATAGCAACCGGTTGTTTTGCCATTCAGTCGATTTGCATATTAGCCTTTTATTATCCCATATAATAAAAGAGTAATATGCAGCAGAAACTGGTTTGGCTCAGTGGATAGAGCGTCGGTCTGCGGACTGAAGGGTCCCAGGTTCGATTCTGGTCAAGGGCATGTACATTGGCTGGGGGCACATCTCCAGTGGGGGGTGTTCAGGAGGCAGCTGATCGATGTCTCTCTCTCATCGATGTTTCTGGCTCTCTATCCCTCTCCCTTCCTCTCTGGGGGAAAAAAAAATCAATAAAATATATATATATTTAAAAAAAAAAAAAGAGTAATATGCAAATTGACTGTACCTCCGCTATACCTACAAGCCATGCCCACCTGCCAATCAGAAGCGGATATGCAAATAAACCCAACCAAGATGGCTGCAGCTATGGAGAGCAGGAGGGAGGCTTGGGTTTCCCTGGAGTCAGGTGATCGGAGCCAGCTGGGGGTCCCCTGCCCAGGGCACAAGCCTCAGCCAGAGGGTGGAGGTGGAGTCAAGAGATCTGAGGAGATAGGTGTGAACTACAGAGGAAACACCTTTTCTGACTGCTCATTGGTTAATGTCCTGTATGCCACTGGTAATATTCTTAGTAACTAGGGTGATCTAGGGCTTCTCCACCACACTCCTGAAGAAAAAAATGAACTTCTGTTGCTGGACAGCTAAGAAATGTCATATCCTGCCCTAGGCGGTTTGGCTCAGTGGATAATGCCTTTGTTATCAACTGCAGGATCCAGGTTAGATTCTGATCAAGGGCATGTACCTAGGTTGCAGGCTCCTCCCTGCCTGGGGCCCAGATCAGGGCTCATGCAGGAGGCAACCAATCAAAGTGTTCCTCTCACTTTGATGTTTCTTTCTGTCTTTCCCTTTCTCTTCCACATTCTCTAAAAATCAATGGAAACATATCCTCAGGGGAGGAAAAGGAAGAAAGGGAGAAAGGGAGGGAGGAAAGAAAAGAAGAGAAAAGAAAAAAGAAAAGTCATATCTTATGAAAGACACACCTTGGAAATGCCTAAAGAAAGTTGTCATTTTTTCATGGTGAAGGGACCAGAGTCTGTGTTGATGAAAACACATTGGTGGCTGTAGTGACTGGCAGTGGCAGCAGCAGCGGGGTGATGGGGCTGGCACCTTCCCCTGATGGTCTCCCACAAATGGGAGCCAGACTGCAGCTTAGGTCCGCTCCCCCGGGAGCTGTCCTAAGCCATCAGTAGGACATCCCCTGAGGGCTCCCAGTATGTGAGAGGGGGCAGGCTGGGCTGAAGGGGCCCCTCCTCCAGTACACAAATTTCATGCACCAGGCCCTCAGTATAGGATAATTTATATACCATACAATTTGTTCATCTAAAGTGGATTTTAGTACATCACAACTGTAGGACATTTTCATCACTTCTGAAAGAACCACGGTATCCTCCTTACCGCCACAGCCCTTACTTTCCTATGTAGGCTGCCACCAGCATCCGTCTGGCTAGATTGCTGTGTTCTGGCCGTTTTGAATGAATGGAATCGTGCGCCGTGTGGTCTGTGGTGACAGTGTTTTCAGTGTTCCTCCATGTCGTTCAGCTGTCAGTCCTTCATTCCTTTTCGTGGCTGAATAATATTCCACTGTTTGACACACACACTCACGTACATACACACACACACACACACACACACACACACACACACACACACGGTGTTTGGGAAGTGTAAGCTTTTTGATTTACATTAAGAGCTGAAAATTCTGGTTTCATACTAGCTTCAGTAGTTTAAAGTTATGTAGCATGGTAACACTTACAAAAATGCTTTATGCTGGATATTGTGCAAATTTTATCCCCTGAACAAGGGGGACCAAATAATGGTCTCTCACTTATTGTCAATGTGCAAAACTATTTTATTTTTTTATTGTAATTGACACAAATTATATTAGTTTCAGGTGTACAACATAGTAATCCGACATTTCTCTCTCTTACGAGTGATCATGTTAAATCTAGTGACCATCTGGCGCTGAGTAGATTATTACGAGGTTACTGAGTGGATACTCTGTGCTATTCCTTCGCTCCGGACTCATTTATTTTAGACCTGGGAGTTTGCACCTTTTTGCACATGTCCCCTCTCCCCTGTTTCCATAGGGTTTGATGTCACATTGATATTTAAACAATTTTAAGGGTAAACTGTTTTCATTTTCATATTTTAGAACATTAGCTTTAATCTTTTTATGATTATATTCAGCATTTCCAATATGTATTCACTGTTTGTGTTCACATAGTGAAGTAGGGCTTTGTTGATTGCCTTTACGTTTATGTAAACTCTTTTTCTTTGTTGTAGAGTCGCTTTGCGGTCACATGGATCTGCGGTATGGAGTCAGCCATGTTTGATAACTTCACCTGGGAAGGAGAGAGCCTTCTTCCTTATTAAAAGGCCGTGAGGAAAACAACCAAAGGAATCGGGCCAGATGCCAATGCCACATCGCTTTCAAACTATCAAGACAAATGGCTTGAACTTTAAAGAAAACTTGTTCATCAACATTATTTTTAGCCATTTAAGAAAACATCGTTTTCACCTTAAGCTTTACAAATCTTTTTTAAATGTAACAAAAATCTCTAAGGCCTTGTTCAAAATAGCCTTCTTCTTCGTTTTCAGGACTTAGTGTTCATGTGCCCTGGTTCAGTTGGCGCAGTCCTCACAGTCTCCGGTAGCAGGAAAGCTATGGATGCGGACGGTCACGGCATTGTCATAGGCTGCAGTACATTTCAGTGGACACTGAAGTCAAGACAGCACCTGTTTCATCAAAATATCACACGAGCACACCGTTCTCAGCTTTGATGCTCACAGAGCTGCTTGAACATGGCGTGGGTGAAGTTCCTGCGGAAGCCGGGTGGCAACCTGGGCAAGGCGTACCAGCCGGGCAGCATGCTGTCGCTGGCGCCCACCAAAGGGCTGCTCAACGCGCCGGGCCAGAACAGCTGCTTCCTCAACAGCGCCGTGCAGGTGAGCCTGCCCAGAGCGCAGGCCAGCTTTTCAGCAGGGGCTTCGTCTGGTGTTGCTTTAACTTGTGCATTAAGGATCAAGTTATGCTTCTTTAAAATATATTTTTATTGATTTCAGAGAGGAAGGGAGAGAGAGAAAGATGGAAACATCAGTGATGAGAGAGAATCATTGATTGGCTGTCTCCTGCTACTGGGGATTGAGCCCACAGCCTGGGCATGTGCTCTTGACTGGAATTGAACCCGGGACCCTTCAGTCTGCAGGCCGACACTCTATCTACTGAGCCAAACAGTCGAGGGCAAGAATAAAGTTATTCTTGGCTGCAATGACCTTTTATCACTTTTATTTTTATTTTTAAAATATATTTTATTGATTTCTTACAGAGAGGAAGAGAGAGGGATAGAGAGTCAGAAACATCGATGAGGGAGAATCATCGATCAGCTGCCTCTTGCACATCCCCACTGGGGTTATGCCCGCAACCAAGGTACATGCCCTTGACCGGAATCGAACCCGAGACCCTCCAGTCCACAGGCCGACGCTCTATCCACTGAGCCAAACCGGTCTCGGCCTTTTATCACTTTTAATGGTGGTGACAATATATGGGCTAGTAGGAACTTTGATTATTATACCAGAAGGAATTATTTTTTTCAGCAGGGTCATATATTACTATGATATAAAAACATATTTTGATTTATAGTGGTTACTTAGTACATTAAGAGTATGTTTCTCAAATACATAAAATAGTTTTTGAATCCGCTAATTTCCTCCTGTGCCCGCTACACGCACACACATCCACATATTTTTTTAAAAGGAAATCCAGTAGGACCCATGGTCAGCGTAAAAGGAAATGAGCCATTTGAGAGGAGCTGTTTTTTTTTTTTTTAAATATAATTGATTTTTTACAGAGAAGAAGAGAGAGGAATAGAGAGCTAGAAACATCGATGAGAGAGAATCATCGATCAGCTGCCTCTTGCACACCTCCTACTGGGGATGTGCCCGCAACCAAGGCACATGTCTCTAACCAGAATCGAACCCGAGACCTTTCAGTCCATAGGCTGACGCTCTGTCCACTGAGCCAAACCAGTTTTGGCGGGAGCTGGGTTTTTAATCGCAGTGCTCCAGCCTCCTCACCCGCTGCGCCCAGGCCACCTCTGTGGGTGTCGGTCCAGTTTGCCTCCGTCCTTGTTGCAGTTCTTGTAACTGACAAATGTATATTAGCCCGCTTCTCTGTGTCAGATAAATGTCCTGTGTGTGGCATGGTTTCTGTTCACTGTCCCAGCTTTTGTAGGATCCTGTGTTCTTTCCAGCACCACTGAAGAGGCTCTTACTCTGGGGACCCCAGAATATTCCTTAGAAGAATTTATTGAAAATAAACCACTTTGACATGTTTTCCAATGCTGCTTTTTCCTCCTGCAGCTCAGAGCAGACAGACAGTACTGGCTAGTGAGTGCCTAGTTCAGTGAGCCTGTCCGGACGTCAGGACGCGCGGTGAAGGAAGTGGACCCCGGTGCTCCTGTAGGAATGCACTCTAGAGGAGCACCCTGGCCTTGCCATGGAGCTTCTAACACGCAGCCGCCTCGCTGGCGCGGGCATCTTGTGTGCAGGCCCCGCGTGGCGTCTGCTGGCACCTCTCAGCGTTTCTCGTGGTCCAGGATGGCGGCCATGAGTTGTTGAGTTTCTGTGTGTCGGCGGGAAAATGGACTTGGTTCTGTTTGGGAAAGGGTCCGAGTTGCCATGTTCTCTTCAGTTCTGTGGCACTCGCTCCCTTTCTTTGCTCGCGTTGTCTCTGCTGAGACGCTGTGGTCTCACCCACCCTCTGCCCACACCTCTTCTCTGTCCCTGGGCGGCCAGGGCGTGGAGCACTTCCGCATCGTCCCCTGCATGCTGCTTGTGCGCGGTTTGCTGAGAACTGATGTATAATTTTAATTAAATTGGGAAACTGACCATTCAGCCTTCAGATTGTCCTGTCCCCTCCTGTGGAGCTGCACGTAACGGCAGGAACGACAGCGGCAGGGAGCAGCTGGCACTCGTTGCCTGCCGGCTAGGCCTGGCACTGCTCTCCCGCTGCAAAGGTTTAACTGAGTGTGGGTCCTCATCAAGAGCGCTGTGAGGGCGAGGCAGCGCGGTCCCCACGGGAGAGGCCAGGGTTTTCAGACCTACGTTAAGTGCTGGTTTAAATAGATCCGTGCTCTCCCTGTCTGTCTGTCTGTCTTTTAGTAGTAAACGATGACTGGATAGTTGTAGCAAAAGTATCGGGTTATTTCTAACTCCGCTTCCTACACCCCAATGCCAGCCAGGCGCCTTCCCCTCAGGGTGGGGTGAGCCACAGGCCGCTGCTCGCCTGTCTTCTCATCCACCCCACACTGACCTGCACCCTGGTCTCAAGTCCAGGTGTACTTCCTCTGAGTCCCAGTTCCTTCCAAGTACTGCGATCACTTCCTCTTGTGTCGCTGCCAAGTCCCCGCAGTAACGCTGTGTGCTGGTCAGAGTCCTTACCTGAGGCCTCCGCTCCCTGCTCGGCTCTGCCCGGGCTTCCCGGGCGCCGGTTGGCATCGTGCTTCCTGCTAGTGCTGTCTGGGGGGGTATCTGATGTGCAGGAGGTTTCTAAGACCGGCCTGCGATTTCTAAGACTTCCCGCCTCCTCTCGCCGAGTCTCACGGTCTCCCGTCTCCCACCACAGGTGCTGTGGCAGCTGGACATCTTCCGGAGAAGCCTGCGGGCCCTGACGGGGCACGTCTGTCAGGGCGAGGCCTGCATCTTCTGTGCGCTGAAGGTAACCTACAGCTCCACAACTCCAGTTGTCTCTCCACATTTTAATTTTACCTGACTGTTTGCCATATTTGATTAGCTCACTTGTAATTAAAGTTCATTGTCAAGCGATTTATAATTTTGAAGATGAATTCTTAAAGTATGACTTATTTGGGTTTATGTTTTCATTTTTCACTTCTGTACAAGGACAATTAATACTATACATGGTATGAAGTTGTTGAGAACATTACCTTTTACATTATTTTGGAATTACTAGTTTTAGCCTGTTTTTTGAACTGCTATTACATTCTGGTTGCCAAGGAGGCAGCAGTGAACAGAGTGATAAGCCTGCTCTCAGGGAGCGTCTGTCCCAGGTAGGGGCAGTGAAGCGGCACTGTGGGGAGTATCTCAGGGGCAATAGAGCAGCACTGTGGGGAGTATCTCAGGGTCAGGAAAGCAGCACTGTGGGGAGTATCTCAGGGGCAGTAGAGCAGCACTGCGGGGATATCTCAGGGGAAATAGAGCTGCACTGTGGGGAGTATCTCGGGGGCAGGAAAGAGCACTGTGGGGAGTATCTCAGGGGCAGGAAAGAGCACTGTGGGGAGTATCTCAGGGGAAGTAGAGCAGCACTGTGGGGAGTATCTCAGGGGCAGTAGAGCAGCACTGTGGGGACTATCTCAGGGGCAGGAAAGCGGCACTGTGGGGAGTATCTCAGGCAGGAAAGAGCACTGTGGAGTATCTCAGGCAGTAGAGCAGCACTGTGGGAGTATCTCGGGGGGGGAGGGCAGTGACTGCAAACCAGGGAAATGGGCCAGAAGGGGATGGAGTTGCGCAGCAGGATGCCCTCGCGGGGAGAGAGGCATTTACATTAGGACCTGAAAGGGTGACTGTGGCCTGAGGGCCGTGAGCATGACAAGGTCTTGGAGACGTGGCTGCAGCCGCTGTGTGGGCGCGGGTGCCAGGAGCTCAGTGTGGGGAGCAGTGATCACACCTGCCTGCAGAGGCCTCTGTGTGGGCTCTAGCCATGACATGGGCTGAGGCTGCAGGTGCTGCAGCCCTGAGGTCAGGTGCCTGGAGAGGGCGCCCCGGCTCCCCCTGGCTCTGTCCAATGAGTGGCGGTTCTCCGAGGGGCTGCGGTCCCAGAAGGAGGCCAGGCTGGCCCCACAGCCGGCAGGGTGCAGCACTAGCAGCTGCCCAGCATCGGTTTCCATGAGTCCATTCCTAGCAGCAGGCTGTGCCACAGGCCTCTGCCAGAGCAGGGCTGAGCTGTCCCCTCCAAGTTCAGATTTGTGCCCTAAGTGAGGCCGACTGTTGGTCACAGCCGGGTGCTTCATCATGGAGTGGTCCGTAACGCACAGGGGGTTAGGGCACGGGGGCCTTCCAGCCTCTGAGAGGACCTCGGCTTTTCTCCTGCGTGAGGCCAGGAGTTGGGGTCCTTGGCATAGAGGGGGGACGGCGTTTGTTTTAATTGGATACTGTGTTTGGACTGGACTGACTGCGGGAATGAGCATAAAGAGAAGAGATACCAGACAGAGGCAGGGAATCCATACAGATTAAGCATCTCATTTACATCATTGAAATCCCATCCAGGAATCTAAGGTTTTCATCAACGCTTTAAAAAAAAATTGATTTAGACAGGAAGAGAGAGGGAAAGAGAAAGACATCAGTGATGAGAAAGATCACTGATTGGCTGCCTCCTGTACAACCCCATTGGGGATCAAGCCCCCAACCCAGGCATGTGCCCTTCACTGGGAATCAAACTATGAGCTCCTGGTTCATAGGTCAACAGTCAACCATTGAGCCACACCGTCCAGGTTATTAACACATTTTAACACTATCGAGTTCCTGCTATTTCTCATATGATTAGATGCTTATCCTTGGTTAACATAATTTCAGTTCCTGTAGTACACTTTTGATTCAAAGCAACTTGATTCAAACAACACTCCCTGAGACCCGGTCAGCACCACCGGGAGCATGTAACGCGGGCTCGCTCAGGCACACGCAGCCAGGAGCAGCCAGGCTGGCCGAGAGGTGCTGGTCCTGATGCCGCCGCTTACCTGAGAGGCCGGGCAGCCACCTCCCGCAGGGCTTTCTGTGGGGTTTCAGGACAAAAGACAGTTCAGTGTTGGTTTCCCGAGGTAGTGTTTTGTGTCACCGTGAAATAGGGACGAGTGAAATAGGGACGAGTTTCTGAGTTGTTGGCATTGAGCTCATGCATGTGCTTGTGGATTCGCAGACCATGTTTGCTCAGTTTCAACACAGCCGGGAGAAGGCCCTCCCCTCGGACAACGTGCGGCGTGCCCTGGCCGAGAGCTTCCGGGACGAGCAGCGGTTCCAGCTGGGCCTCATGGACGACGCTGCCGAGTGCTTTGTAAGGACCTGGGCCGCCTCCTGCGAGAGCGCGGCCCCTGAGAGCGATGCACGCCACACGGCAGAGCCGCGGCGGGGTCCGAGCGCCCTTGCAGCTCCGGCGGGGCTCCGTGGACCTCTGGTTCTGCCCTTCGTGCTGCTCCACGCTGTCCTGAGTGTTAGGCTCTAGGGCATTTAAAATGTATTTATTGGAGCAAAAGGTTCATTCAGGTAAAGACATCACTTAAGCCGGCGCCCCGCCCCCCAGCCTGCAGCTGTGCAGCCTGCCAGCCTGTATGTGGGCAGGTCTCGGGCAGCAGGGCTGGCACCCACCTCGTGGCAGGTCGAGAGGCCCTGGGACATCGCCGTGTGGATGAGCAGAGCGTTCCGTGGTCCGTCCGTCACGGACCTTCTGCGCTTCCTCGGTGTCTCAGAGAGAGGCTACCTGTACGTCAGACGCACCGTTGCTCTCTGGCCTTGTGTCCAGTCAGCAAGTCCCCGTGCTTCTCAGAGCCCTGTGAGGGGCTGGCCCTAGTTCTCTGGTCCCCTCCTCTCAGGCTCCAGGGAAGCTCCTTTCTGAGGCCGTTCAGCCTAGCCCCTTGCAGTCTGGTTTTTTAAATATGCTGTTACTGATCTCAGAGGAAGGGAGAGGGAGAGAGAGAGAAACATCAGTTAGGAGAGAGAACCATTGAGTGGCTGCCTCCTGCATTCCCCCTACTGGGGATTGAGCCCACAACCTGGGCATGTGCCCTTGGCTGGAATTGAACCTGGGGCCCTTCTGTCTGCAGGCCAATGCTCTATCCACTGAGCCACACCAGCAGGGGCCTTACAGGTTTTTTTTAATGGCCGTGGTTAATATCATTTTCTTCAGTCTATTGCTTGCTCTCCTAATATTTCTGTGACTCGAATCCAGACTCTCTCCTGACACGTAAGGCCCTTCAGTTGAACTGCAGGCCTCGCTCTGCGTCCCTGACTATCTTGTGAATGAGTGATCACAGTCGCCTTTGCTCAGGCCCCAAAATACTACGACTCCGATGTATTCAGTTGTCCAGGTGCGGCCCAGTCGTGCCTGCTGGATACGGCAGGTCACAGCCCCCGCAGTGCTCCCGGTCTCTGTCATTGTCGTTAGCGAGCATCTTCTCTGCTCCTTGGACAGGGCGACAGCTCCTTGACGGAGGACTGCTCAGCACACTGGCCACGTTGACTAAACTTCTAAAACAGCACACACATCATGAAATAGGCTTTCACAGTTCTCATCTTAATAATCCACCCATTGCTCTAAACATAAACATATGGGCACAGTACTGCAGCCTGCAATTCACTTTGCTGAGATGCACTAACACAGGAGGCCACAGTTCAAGGAGTATCTAGCAGTTCCAGCTCGATAACCGTTTTCAAGGTGGTTGAAAGGATCCGTTATTTACGCTTTGATAAAAGAGGGTAGTTTGTTGGAGTAAATGCCCTTGGTGACGTGTATTAGACCTGGGCTGTCCCCTGAGCCTGGGGGAGCAGGCCCTGTGCGTGGGGAGAGTGCGGTGTTCTCATTGCACGCCTCCATGGACGTAACTCACATGGACTGTCCAGGATGGTGTTTAATTAACAGGAAACATAGGACACTTTTCTGGTATTAAGTCCTAGATATCAGCTACCGTAACCTGATTTTTAAAAGGACCTTTAAAATCTTTATTAAAACCACACGTTTCTTTTGTTAAATTTGTGAAGTTTATTCGATTTGTTGTCAGCTGATTCCACGTGGTGAGCAGTTGACAGCATTCGAGGTGTCACTGACAGGAAGCTGGCACGAAGGAGGGACCGCCTAGATCTGGCCCCGGGAGACCGGAAAGGCTACGCTTGGGAGGATGTAAAGGCTGTCTGTGTTTGGAAGTGTCTCTGCCAGATTGACCGCTCACGTGTCTTCTCTTTTCGCAGGAAAACATCTTGGAGAGGATCCACTTTCACATCGTGCCCAGCCGGGACGCGGACATGTGCGTCTCCAAGTGCTGCGTCGCGCACCAGAAGTTCGCCATGACGCTGTACGAGCAGGTGAGGCGCCGCCCTCGCCCCTCGATGCCGTCTGTGTTCCACGAGCCGTGCATTAAGCGTCTGTTTCTGCCGCAGTGCGTGTGTCGTAGCTGTGGGGCCTCATCAGACCCTCTGCCTTTCACAGAATTCGTGCGGTACATCTCGACGACAGCCCTGTGGTAAGAACCGGAAAGCGCCTCCACCAAAGATTCAATAGCGCAGCGAGGCACAGCGAGCATTTACTCTGTAAGCCACGGCGCCCGTGAGTATCTGCTCTCTGCCTGGGACTCAGGCTGCGAACCTCAGAGGTACTGAGTGGTGTCTGTCTCAGTTGGATATTTCTGAGTTAGCCCGATGCATCTACCACATAGTGAAATGTGCAAAATGTGAGTCAAAATTCACGCCTGTTCACATTGAGAGCACGTCTTTGGAACGGGGCAGGAGAGCTGGAAATGATAAGCAGCCCCAGCTGGGGTGGCTCAGTAGTTGGGCGGTGTCCCATGCGCTGAGAGGTTGCTGGTTCGATTCCTGGTCAGGACACATGTGTGGACTCAATTCCTCATGGTGGGCGTGCAGGTGGCAGCTGCTCACTGTTCTGCTCTCACTCACATCGATGTTTCCTCCTTTCTCTAAAAAAACAAATATTTTTTTAAAAAAAACGACAAGCGAGTGGTCAGGGAGCTGCACCCAACTCCCTAACTTTGGCAGGTGTCACATTTGCAGTGGCCGTGTCCCCTGTCAGCACTGCGTGTGCCTCCATGGTGATAGAAGCTGCACCTGAACCCCTAGCTTCGGCAGGTGTGACTTTGCAATGGCTGTGTGCCTGGTGGTGATGGAAACGGGAAGCAGGAAAGAAAGAAAACAGTGAACACAACCTCCTCGGGGTCTGCGGCCTCAGGCCTCACCATCATTGGCATAGGGATTGGCCTGGCTTGCCCGCCTGCCCACTCTGCCTGCCCAGGACACAGTACTACTTAGGGACCCAGAAGTATCCCCAGACTTCACACAATGGCCATCACTTGAACACTCCCAGCAGGCAGTGGAGAGAATACTATTTGCTGTGTGCACACACTGACTAAGGCCATGGTTGGCAAACTGTGGCTCACATGTGGCTCTTTGGCCCCATGAGTGTGGCTCTTCCACGAAATACCAGGCCTGAGCGAGTCTATTTTGAAGAAGTGGTGTTAGAAGAAGTTTAAGTTTAAAAAATTAGGCTCTCAAAAGAAATGTCAATCATTGTCCTGTTGATATTGGCTCTGTGGACTGATGAGTTTGCCGATCACTGGGCTTAGGTCACAGGTGTTTGCAGGTGTTCTAGTGCAGGAGCCAAAGGTGGTCGGTGTTCCTGTCAGATCCGTCCGCTGGTTGGCCACTCAGGGCCCAGTGTTTGCTCTGCAGAGTGAGGCACGTGTTCCTCACTCACCCACTCCGTGTTCAGACTTCCTCCTCTGTGGGTGCAGCACAGAATTCTAAACACTGCTGGGTAATAGCAACTGGGCTATTGGTGTGCTTAGCATCTTTCTTGTGTGGACAGAGTTGGAACGTCGGTTTAAAGAAACATTCCCTGAACTGCAGTCATTTGCGGCTTGTTTTGTTCTCTGTGTGAAGAGGAGAGTGGTAGGAACAAGAGAGCCTGCGCTAAGGGTTAGGGTGAGCCTTCGCTTTGAAGCTCCTGTGTGCAGGCGCCTGAGCAGGCACTGAGGTCACACAAACCAGCGCTCCATCCATGCGCCTGGCTCACGCCCCAGATCTCAAGAGCCCAGACTATGAATTCTGATAGTCCCCTTTGGGGGTATTGAGGATTGAATATTAATTATTGCATGCTTACTATGTTCCAGGCTTTACATATATGGTCACTTTAACCTTAACAACACCATTTCATTGATGCAGACATAGGTTTAATAGGTTATCTGATACATAGACCAAGTAAGACTGAGAGCCAGGTGGGTTCCATTTCATTCAATATTGGCTGTGTACTCCCTGACAGCCGGTCTGATTGTGCTCTCTGTCCCCGGGTGGAGTGCGTTAAGAGGAGGGTGGGTGAGCCGTGACTAAATAGTGTATGCTTTTCCGCTGAACCGTTCACTGTGTCCAGCCCTGGACACTAACATTACATAGAGTCTGGAATGGAAACAAGTAAGGGTTTTGAGCGCATCGCAGTCTCTGGAAATGTGTGAACACTTGCCTAAAGATGCTTGGTACGTGTATGGAAAAGGCTGACTCATGTAGCTGCCCTGGAGCTGGGGTCCGAGAGGGAGCCTCCCCAAAGTCGGTTAGGCCCAACCTGTGCTCACGTCCCTCAGTAATTGGTCATAATTTAAGTCATCATGTAAAACAAATATTGGACTTACAACTACCTTTAGACAGAACAGCTTACCTCATTCATGCGGTTCCAAATAGTGCTATAATTTTTGTGCTATTCCATTCTTGCCCTGGTTTTTTATCACATACCTGCCAGATTTCATGGTTTTCACTTTATGGAAATTCATGGTTAATTTTTTTTACACAAAAATCATGTTTTAAGACAGAAAAAAGTGATCCTGCATATATTGATAACTTAATATTTTTCATACGTAATTTCATACATAGGCCAGATTTGGGACTGCTTCTTTTTTTTGTAGCAACGAAGTTGGAAGAATGACGGACAGGCATGAGCGGGTGAAGCCCGAATTGTTTGCGGAATTGTTGCAAGCAGCGAATACGACGGATGACTATCGGAAGTGCCCCGTAAGCACATTTTGGACTGTCAGTGGCTTGTGTGTGCACTTAAAGGAGACACCCAGAGTTATTATGTCATGTTGATTGTCTGTGGAATTACTTTTAAGAATTTGTTTTTGCAATGTTATTTTAGATAACTATTATGTCTAGTAATAATTAATGTCGTTTTCTAATACTTTTTTAAATTGAATTTATTTAAACAATACAACAAAATTTAATCAACAATATAGTTGCCGTTGTTTTCTACTACTTATGCCCAACGCTCAGGAAGCATTTTAATCCCTCTGTTGTAAAATTCTTGTGATTTTGATGCAAAAAATTCGGTCAATGCATTTTTGAGGCATTCTTCATTATTAAATTTTTTTCCAAGAAGAAAGTTTTGCAAAGAACGAAACGAATATGCAGGTTGAGGGAGAACTTCCCATTCCAACTGGCGCAGTTTTTCAGCAGTGATTCTTGCAGTATGCAGTCGTGCGTTATCGTGGTGAAGAATTACGCCCTTCTGATTAATCAGCGCGGGTTCTTTTTCTCTTAAAGCTTGGGCTAACCTTTCCAATTGGGCACTATACACTGCACTTGTAATGGTTTGGTTAGATGGTAAAAGTTCATAATGAGGAATTCCTTTAAAATTCCACCAAACACACAACATCACTTTTTTCGCATGCAAGTCAGGTTTTGGCGTGGGCTGCGGAGCCTCATTTTTGTCCAACCATTGAGGCCGCCTTTTCAAATTAACAGACAGCACCCATTTTTCATGTCCGGTAACAATTTGCTCTAAAAACGGCAAATGGTTTTGACGAGAGAGGAGCGAACTGCAAATTGTGACTCTTTGATTACGGTTGTTGTCGGTCAACTCATGAGGAACCCATTTTCCAAACTTTTGGACTTTGCCAAGTGCACGCAATTGATTGGAAATTGTTTTTTTGTGAACAATTTAAAGTTGTCGCAAGCTCTTGTTGGGTAATTTGAGGATTTTGCACCAAAAAAGCTTGAAGAGCTTCTTGATCAAAATTGGACACACGGCCTCGACCACTCTTGTCATCGAACGAAAAATTTCCCTCGCGAAATTTCTCAAACCAACGCTGGCATTTTCTGGCGCTAACTGCATCTTGACCAAGAGCACTACAGATGTTTTTTGCAGCCTCACTTGCTTTTCTTCCTAATTGGAACTCGTAAAGCATGCAGTGCCGAATATGCTCTTCATCCGCCATCTTCTTAGCCCTAGTTTTGCAATAAAAACCAAACCAAACACAAACTTTTTCAAGCAAAACTTGTTAATTGCACTTCACACGTTCTGTAGATACCACGTGTTTGAAGGTTATGTCAATACAAGTCAACGCCAAGCAAGATTTTAAACGAATGTTTGAAAACGACATTAATTATTACTAGACCCAATATACCAGGTGAGCTATTTATCTCAGCACTAGTTCTTTAAACACTCAACTTTGGAAGGACTTAAGGTAGCATATTTCAGTTTTTTTTTAAAGTTCAGAAATCTATCATTTCACTAAAGACAAAATTAATTTTTTTCCCCCCAAATGGTGTCATTCTTTTCTGATGTACTATTATTAATCATTTTCAGGGGTTCTATTTCTGATTTTTTTAGACTGATTTTTTATTTTAACATACTTACAAAAATATTAAAGAAAGCACTTTGATTTAAAATAAACTTCTTGTTTAATCAATAATTAAGAGAACTAGTTTGTTAGAAGTTTATTTTAACATGCTAAATAAATAAATTTGCAATATAAAGAGTGTCACTGCATCATGTCACAGGCGCCACCTGTGGTATCGATATATGTTTCAGTAATTCCTAAACTTGCCTCTTGTGTTTTCCTTTAGAGTAACTGTGGCCAGAAAATAAAGATCCGCCGCGTCCTGATGAACTGCCCGGAGATCGTCACCATCGGCCTGGTCTGGGACTCTGAGCACTCGGACCTGACCAGCGACGTGGTTCGGAGTCTGGCCACTCATCTCTCTCTTCCCGGGGTATCTCCGCGCTCTCCTTCTCCTCCTCGTTTTGCACTCGGGACACACTTTCATCAGCTGGTTTCTCAGAACGAAGTTCTCTTCCTAAGGGAAGGAGGTTCAGATGGACTCTCTTGCAGCTGACCCAGTCAGGCTAGCTGGACTTCTTCAGAGCCCAGGCCGGGAGCGGTTTTCACTTCTAACTGTCTCCTGCTGCGTCTCTTACCACTCTAGAGTGATGGAGATGTGATCATAACTGTAAACGTGAGCTGCTTGCTTATATGCTTTTACCATCTTAGGTAACTATTTGAATTGGTTGATGTTACAATTAATTTTTTAGAGAATTATCTTTCAGGTGACACAAGTTTAATGTATGTTCGAGTATGTGATTCAATCAAGAACTATCAGAAAGTGGGGGGTTATTTCATATTTTGAGTCTGTAGATGTAACGTGTCTGTTCTCTGGAGACACTGTATTACTGGGCTAAAGTTAGGGCCTTCCTGTAATGCCCTGGCAGGCGATTGGAAGTGTAACTGGGGGCGTGCAGGGCCGTGGTGCCTTCACACCAGGCAGCGCTGGGTAGGCAGCACGCCCAGGAGGTGCGCTTATGGGGCGTCAGATACATGATAGCATATCACTGCTCTTCACTTTTGAGGATACAGTCCTAACTGTGCATTGCTAATTTTTCCAACAGCTGTTTTATAGGGTTACTGATGAAAATGCCAAAAACAGTGAACTTCACCTTGTTGGTCTGATATGCTACACCAGCCAGCACTACTGTGCCTTCACGTTTCACACCAAGAGTTCCAAGTGGGTGTTTTTCGATGATGCAAATGTGAAAGAGGTAGGTGACACTTCTGTGAACTGGGATACTTACTGTGACTTACGCTCTTTAGGAATAAATGTTGTAATAATAATCTATAATAATAAAAGCGTAATATGCTAATTAGACCTGATATCCTTCTGGATGACCTTTTAGACAAAGCCGGGGCTGCGAGGGAAGCTCAGGTCCCTGGTGCTTGCTAACAACCAGAGGAAAACCCAGGTCCTGGGTACCAAAGGGAAGCCGGTGCCGGCAGCCTACTCTTACATTAATTTCATGCATACAGCTTCTAATCTACACCAATAAAAGAGAAATATGCAAATTGACTGTGCCTTCGCTATATCCACCAGCCAATCAGGAGTAAGTTATGCAAGTTAACTCAACAAAGATGGTGGGTTGATTTGCATACGCAGGTGCCAAGCAGCTGGGGGTGGGGTGAGATGCTTGCATCGTTGCCATGGTGTTCTGCACTGCCCCAGCCACACAGGGCCTCTGAGCAACGTGGGAAGGCAGGGCCAGAGCGGAAAGAGATGGCTCCAGGGCTGGAGCTGAAAGAGCCAGGCCGGTATCCAGGGAATGGAAGGCCCATTTTTGTACAAATCTTTGTGCATTGGACTTCTAATCTATACTGATAATAGGGTAATATGCTAATTAGACTTCTGGTTGTTTGGTCCTCCTTCCGGGCAAAGCCATGGTGGCGGGGGCGGAGGCAGAGGTGGTTAGGGACAATCAGGCCAGTAGGGGAAGGACGGTTAGGGGTGAGCAGGCTGGCAGGCAAGTGAGCGGTTAGGAGCCAGCAGTCCTGGATGGCAAGAGGGATGTCCAACTGCCCGATCCCTGAGGGACCCCGAATTGGAGAGAGTGCAGGCCAGGCCGAAGGGACATCCCCTCTCCACCTGTGCACGAATTTCCTGCACCAGGCCTCTAGTATCAATATATTAGTAACAGTGATAAAATAAAGGTTTCTGTATGCAGGCAGTCCTCAGGTCACATCTGAGATCCATCCCTATGGCGCGACATAACTCAATTTCTCCATAAGTTGGAACCCACCTACATAAGTACCTTTGTCACTCATATGGAGCATATACACAGCAGTAATGAAGTGAAAGTGTAACAGAAAATTAAAAGAAAGATAATTCCTCTGAAACTGGTTTGTCTCAGTGGATAGAACATTGGCCTGCGGACTAGAAGGTCCCAGGTTTGATTCTGGTCAAGGGCATGTACCTTGGTTGCGGGCACATCCCTGGTAGCTAATCGATGATTCTTTCTCATCGATGTTTCTAACTCTATCCCTCCCTCTTCTACTCTGTAAAAAATCAATAAAATATATTTAAAAAAAGAAAGGTAATTCCTCACCTTTACTTATGTTAAATAAATAATAAAAAACAAAAAAGCACATATGTACTAAGTGACTGAACGACTGAATGACCAGTCGCTGTGATGTGCACTGATCCCCAGGGGGCAGACACTCAAGCAGGGGCTGTATCCTGGCAGTCAGTGCGCTCCTACAGCCAACTTCCCGTGGTTCCTCCTGGCTGAGGGACTCTACCCATGCATGAATTCGTGCACTGAGTCTCTAGTAATTATATAAAACTAGAGGCCTGGTGCACAGAATTCATGCGGGGTGAGGAGGTGTCCCTCAGCCCAGCCTCTGCTTGCTCTGTTGGGATTTATGTATCTTCTATAATTTAAACTTTGTAGCCTGAAGCGGAGGTCTGGGCCAGCCAGGGTATGTGGAAAGCTTGGCTTCCTCCATCGCCGGGGAAATCCAAGTCTCCCTCCTGCTCTCTGTGGCTGTAGCCATCTTGGTTGGGTTTATTTGCATGCATATTGGCTCCTGATTGGCTGGTGGGTGTAGCAGAGTGATAATTTGCATATTACTCTTATTAGATAGGATGATTATTAGATGTAAATGCTTTTATAAAATAATAAGTGAATTTAATGACAATTCTTAGAATCCTTTTATTAACTTGTAATCTGATTTTTTCTAAGCTGAATCCATATCTAGAATAATAAAAGGTCAACAAATGTTAGTGTAGCCACCAAGGATCCATATGTACCATCCTTCTGTCTGGTACACAAAAGATTTGGACAGTTCACCAAAGGAGATAGGTGAATAGCTCTTGTGATGATACTCAGCATGATTGGGCACAAAGAGACACATTCAGTTCACAGTGAGGTTCAGACTCAGCTGTTAGGAGGATAAATTCCCAAGCCCGACCGCACTGGGAGTGTGGATAGCAAGCAGCCAATCCCTGACGCAGGCGCGTGGCAGTGCCGACCTCACCCGGAGGGTGCAGGACATCGAGCAGCCAGATCTCCGCCGCAGGCAGGGCCACATGGAACAGCCACCTTACAGGTGCGTCAGCGTCCTGCACGTGTAACCTTACCGTGCAGCCAGCAGCACCACTCCCTGAGAATGTGCCCCACACAGCCTTCCTTGAATGTCCATCAGTGCGTGAGCAGATAACCACCGCGTGGTCCAAGTGCAGTGGAGCCTCATGCCCCTCAGACAGCAGAGAGCTGACAGGTGTGGGACATCTCAAACCACTGTGCTGATGACAGAAGTGAGACTCACGGCCAAATACCAGTTCCACTGACGCAGATCCCCTGAAAGGAGGAGAGGGTGATGGAAGCCACTGCAGAGGGGAGCGAGGAGCGAGGCTGCACGCAAGGCTGTGCACTCGTCAGAGTGCGGGGCTTGCACAGTGTACCAGCTTAGTTCGTGATTGTTCTCAGGAAAGCCAGCGGGGAACTCTGGTACTTAGTTCTAAAAGCAGCTCCGCTCGGACTCCTTCAGGCAGCCCCGCCGGATTCTGTGCGCAGCGCCTTTGGCCTTCCTACTTGGCATCCACGTCCTTTAAATTGTCAAAGCTTGAAGGAGGACCTGGGTGTGCAGTCACCCTGTGAGTTTTATATTTGTTTTGCTTTCAAATCACACTAGTTCCTCAAGTATGTCAGCGTCCCCAATGAGGAGGGTGTACCGGTAGTTTAAAAAATTCCTCAGACGTTTTTACCGCCCTTCCTTCCCTGCAAAAGCCAACATTCCAGAATGCTTTAGTTCCTGTTTGTTCGGTTTTGTTTTGTTTTTAAATCAACATTATCCTATCTAATAAAAGAGTCATATGCAAATTAACCATCACTCTGCTACAAAGATGGTGGAGCTCATAGCAGGGTGGGATGCTGGCCGCAGAGGGAGGAAAGGCTGGGGTCAGATCGCTGGGCTGCTGTGCTGGGGGCGTGCTCTGAGCTGCTGCCACACAGCTTGGGACACGCCTCCAGCCCAGCTGACACAACCGGGCCAGTGGGCTGGGTGCTGCTCAGAGCCGCTGCTGTGAAGCTTGGGGCATGCCCACTGCCCAGCAGACAGAAGCCCCGCTGACAGAAAGCGGGGCTGCTGGCCCTAGCAGTCCCCAGCAGCCCCCAGCCAGTGGATGGAAGCCCTGTGGACACAATGCAGGGGTCCTCTGTGTGCTCCCTCTCACAGTGCTCTTGGTAACTTGGGTAATAAGAATGCAAGAAGGTGGTCTAGGGGTTTTTCCACCTCACTCCTGGAGGGAAAACTGAGGTCTGCTGCTGGAGCAGCTAAGAAGTGTCAGATCCTGCCCCAGCCAGTTTGGCTCAGTGGATAGAGCTTTGGACTGTTGATCACAGAGTCTGGGTTCTGTTCTGATCAAGGTCCTGTACCTAGGTTGCAGGCTCCTCCCCGGCCAGGGCTCATGCAGGAGGCAAAACCAGTCGAAGTATCCTCTCACATTGATGTTTCTCTCTGTCTTTCCCTCTCTCTTCCAAGCTCTCTAAAAAGCAATGGAAACATATCCTCAGGTGAGGATAAAAGAGAAAGGTCATATCCTATGAAAGACACATCTTGAAAACGCCTAAAGAAAGTTGTCGTTTTTTCTTGGTGAAGGGACTAGAGTCGGTGTTGATGAAGACACCTTGGCGGCTGTGACAGTGGCGGCAGCAGCGGGGTGATGCACTGGCACCTTCCCCTGATCAGCCCAGTCACCTCCTGCAGAGGAAGGCCAGACTCTGCCTTAGGCCTGCTCCCCATCAGTAGGATGTCTCCTGAGGACTCCCAGTTTGTGGGGGGTTGGGGCGGGGGGCAGGCTGGGCTGAGGGACACCCCCCCAAGTGCATGAATTTTGTGCACCGGGCCTCTAGTAGAGGTATAACTTACAAACATTAAAGTGCACCCATGAAAGTGTTTTGGCAACTGTATACACATCTCCACACCATATAGCACAAAGCATACCCTTCCCCTGTGTGGTGTCACGTTCCTGGTGGGCCCCTCCCCCCATACCCCCCGCGCGCCCCACCCCAGGAATCCCGATGCTCTGTGAATTGTTCTGCTCCGTCTTCACCATCGTGGGGATGGCCTTCCCAGTACACATCCCTCTGAGGCTGGGTGCTTCGTCACGCACATACCTTTTAGGATTCTCGCGTGCAGTGTTCCGTCCTATGGCTGTGTAGAACAGGGGTCCTGTTCAGGTGGGAAGAGTCTGGGTGTGAACACATTTTCCCATTACTCCCAGGACTGGGGAGGTGTCTGGGTGCTGAGTGTGTTCAGCTGTATGTGACCTGACATGCTGTCCACAGAGACTGAGCATTTCCCTTCCGCACAGCACCCCCTGCTGGGAGTCTCAGGCTAGCCTTCCAGGGACCCTGAGGGGGCCTCACGGTGATTTCCCCTGCACTTTCCTTTGGTTAACAGGAATGTGCTTCCTGGCCATTCTTCTGTCTCTAGTGACCTATCGGTTCAGATAATTTGCCCATTTTTCATATTGGATTATTCCCTTCTTAATGAGCTGTAGGAATTCTGTGCCTGGTGCAGTACCCCTTTATTAGGTGGGGTTTTTGTTTCGTTATATTTTCCATTTTGTTAATAGTGTTTTTCATGGATCCGAAGTAATTTATTCATTTCATGGAATCCAATTTTATATGTTTTCTTTGGTTTGATGTCCTATATAAGATATTTTTACTTTCCTTGGGGTTAATGCTTTCTCTCATTTTCTTGTGTAAACTGTAGAGATTTTACGTGATTCCTTCTGAGTTCATTTTTGGGCTTCATGTGTAGTTGTGTCTTTTCTTTTTCCTCCGATTGCTGTAGAATCATTTGTGGAATCGACTTTTATATTTTCCCATTAAACTGCCTTTAATCTTTGTCAAAAGGCAGTTGACCATGTGTGTGGAAAGCTTTCTAAAATTTGTTATCCAAATCTTGATATAGAGTGTATAATTTTTCCCATCAATTTTTAATATATATTTTTATTGATTTCAGACAGGAAGGGAGGAGAGAGATATAGAAACATCAGTGATGAGAGAGAATCATTGATTGGCTGCCTCCTGCACACCCTCTACTGGGGATCAAGCCCGCAACCCAAGCACGTGCCCTGGACCGGTATCGAACCCGAGTCCCTTCAGTTTGCAGGCTGATGCTCTATACGCACTGAGCCAAACCAGCTAGGACAGCCCATCAATTTTTTAATGTTAATGTTTGAAGAGTCCTTAGAACTCATTAAATAAAATAAAGTTACTCATGTAATACAACGCACAGCTGAATGGCTGGCTAGCATCTGGATGTTGTTAAACATCTTTAATATGCAAATCAATTCAGTCCCTGCCTTTCCGGGTAGCAGACTGCTGACAGGTTGGTTTTGCTCCCTGTGGTTTTAAAGGTGGGAACACGGTGGAAGGACGTGGTCTCCAAGTGCCTCCGGGGCCACTTCCAGCCCCTGCTGCTGTTCTACGCCAACCCCGAGGGCACGGCTGTTTCCACGGAAGACGCGCTCAGGCAGGTGGTCAGCTGGCCGCAGCAGAAACCCGGGGCGGACAGCATGCGTAAGCCTTTGTCGTTTCGTGTTTTTCTTTCTCGCAGTCACACTAGGAATACTAATATCCTGTATAATAAAAGGCTGATACGCAAATAGACTGAACAGCGGGACGACAGGTCGCTATGACTGTGCACAGACCACGAGGGGGCTGATGCCAACGCAGGAGCTGCCCCCTGGTGGTCAGTGCGCACCCACAGGAGCCATGCTTCAGTCAGAAGCCAGGCTGTGGCAGGAGTGCAGCAGCAGTGGCAGGAGCCTCTCCTCCTCTGTGGCAGCGCATCATTATCATCTTCCCGGACCAGTGGCCTCACAGGCACCCTGGGAGCCACCCATGACAGTGGTCACATGGGCACAGAGGGGCTGCCCAGCTGTGAGCTCTTCCTAGCAGGAAGCTGGGATGTAAAGCGAGTTAGTCCCTGGGAAAGTCCAGAGCAGCGGGGAGTCCGTGTGCATTGCACAGCACGTGGAGATCCTTGGGAGACGTCACGCCTCTGGGTTAGCAATTGTCCACAGCATCAGGCATATCTGAAAGGATGACTTGGCGCCTCCTCTGGTAGGAGGAGGAAAGGGATGATGCGTTTGTGCTTGTCTTTTTAAGGATCTGAAAAGCCCTCGATTTATAAGTCAGAGAATTCCAAAGAGAATGGATTTGGTGGTCAGGCCAAACAGAGAGAAAGCCAGAAATTTCAGACAGATGACATTTCATCCTTCAGTCGGAGCCACAGCCAAGCGAGCGGCGGCAGAGGAGCAGGTAAGTGTTCTGACTGCCCCGAGGAGGCACGCTTGCCCGGGTTCCCTTCCTGACTCGCTCCTGGGAGGGGCCAGGCGACAGTAACAGCAGCAGCAGAGCTCTGCCTTCCCACTGATGCCGTCTCAGACAGCCCGCCTCGCCACTGCCCGAGCTCATGGCTCCGAGCCCTCATGGTGGAGGCAGTCTGGGCTGTTAGCAAACACTGGCCTTGCCTTCATGGTGTCCGTTACCAACTCCAGAGGAAAGACACGACTTAACATTCGGCTCACACTCCAAAACCAAATTACACTCCGTGACTGCAGTGGTAGTTGTGTAGTTTATTGCTAACCGCATTGTTATCCTGTTATTGTCATCCGCAACTTTGATTTTCACAACTGAGTGCTGTGCAGCACAGCTTAGAGGGTGGGTGTTCAGGATGATTTGTAAACAACTTTAAAAAATTTGTTGTTGTTAATCCTCGCCCGAGGATATTTTTTCATTGATTTTTCATTGAAGGGAGGTGGAGAGACAGAGAAACATTATGTACGAAAGACACAGCGATTGGTTGCTGCCCACACGAGCCCTGACTAGGGCTGGGGATCAGGCCTGCAACCGAGGTCCATGCCGTTGGCAGAATCAAACCCGGGACCCGCCCGTCCACAGGCCTGCGCTCTATCCACTGAGCCACAGCAGCTAGGGCTGTTTTTTTTTTTTTGTTTGTTTTTAAAATTGATTTCAGAGAGAGGAAGGGAGAGAGAGAGAGAATTAGCCATCTGCTACTTCTTGCATGCCCCCCCTCCTGGGGATCAAGCCTATGGGAATCGAACCATGACCTGATTCATGGGTTGACTTTAAAACACTGAGCCACACCAGCCGGGCAGCTTTTTAATATATTAGTGAAATAATGTCTAACAAAAAAGATAGCCCATAAGGAAGGAAGGTGAGATTCAGAATTAACAGTCATCAACAAAGTACAGGAAATGCTTTTTTAAAATTCTGAATGGAAATATACCCCTTCCCTCTTACGTATTGTTGATACTTTTAGATTAAGCCATTATCTGTTTTCCTAAAGATACTTAGTTTGAGCCCAGGAACTGTGTGGGTGTGAACACAAACATGGCATCAGGCAGCTTGGCACTATCTGTGTCTACATCGTGAGGGATGGGAACTTGGGCAGCTTGTTACTTCTGCTTCCCAAGGCAAATGTACCTGTACTTGTGTCCTCTCACCAAGGAAGCAAGTTAGGACACGTGGCGACCGTCATCAGCCTTTAGCTCTTACATTTCAACAGAAGCTCACTTCCCCCGCACACCCACTTCAGATCTTTACAACAAGTTTTAAAGGTAACTCGCGTCTCCGTTGTAAGGAGAATCACACTAACTTTAGTTAGACATGTGTGCTTTGTTTGAACACAGAGGTCTTAAACGTTCCATGCAGTTCAGTGTGTGTGCGTAGTGAGCAGCTAGAAAGCCATGTGCTTCCTGACCGGATGCCTGGTTCCCCTACAGCCAGGCCGGCTCCCAGCGACGCCCGGGAGAAGATGAGGGGCCTCTCCAGGGAGTGTGCCTTGAAGGCGCTGGAGCAGAGGCACCTCCTATGTGCACCGCGGAGGGACACGGGTCAGCACCCAGGTGAGGAGGGCGGGCAGGCGGGCTGGCGGGCGTGCTGGGAAGGGCCGCCCTATATGTTTGTTTACATACGTTAATATGGCTTCTCTAATACTCCTGTTGGACCTGTAGGTAGAAAATTTTCACGTTCTTGTTTAATTCTAATCTGGCATACTTCGCTGTTTTAGCTTTAAAAAATGAATAAAAGTTAATTCTTAAAATATTCTTAAAATATATTTTTATTGATTTCAGAGAGGAAGAGGGAGAAACATCAATTATGAGAGAGAAGCATTGACTGGCTGCCTCCTGCACTCTCCCTACTGGGGATCCAGCCCACAGCCCAGGCATGCGCCCTGACCGGGAATCGAACCTTGCCCTCCTGGTGCTGAGCCACACTGGCCGGGCAGTTTATTTAAACTGTCATTAAAATTATTGTCAGCTCGCTGGTGGTGCCCTCAGTGACGGGCTTGCTTTCCTGACACCCCGACCTCCCCTGGTCGCCATCGTCATCTCGTTTACCGCCAGCCTGCCCATCCCAGCGCGTTCCCTGTGGCCATCTGGTCTCACCGAGGCTGCAGCCTGTAGACAGGGTGCAAGGTTGACCTTCGTGTGCCCTGTGTGGACAGCCACAGCAGAGTCCTTTCCGGGAATCGCTGGGCTAGGGGTCTGTTTTGGACTTGGTTGCTGTGGCTCAGTTGCTTTCTTAATGGGAACCTGTCTGCGGTCCCCCCACAGCAACTGGGCGTCTGTCCCTCCCCTTCCACAGCAATCATTCTCACAGACATTGGACACTCTGCTGGCATAAGAGATAGAACATTTTTAAAAAAATATATTTTATTGATTTTTTACAGAGAGGAAGGGAGAGAGAGAGAGAGCCAGAAATGTCGATGAGAGAGAAACATCGATCAGCTGCCTCCTGCACATCCCCCATCAGGGATGTGCCCACAACCAACGTACATGCCCTTGATCGGAATCGAACCCGGGACCTTTCAGTCCGCAGATCGACGCTCTACCACTAAGCCAAACCGGTTTCGGCATATTTTTGTTTTTTATGATAATCATTAACCATGAATGAGGTTGAATACTGTTTTTTTAAAAATTATCCTATGATCTACTTTAGAGATATTATACTTTTAAAAACCAGTATGTAACATCTATAATAATAAAAGGTAAAATGCTAATTACACCAGATGTCATTCCGCACATCCTTCCTGATGAAGCCACAGCCCAAGGGAAGCAGCCCATGTCCTGGGTGCCTGCTGGAAGCCGGTGCGGCAGCTGGAAAGGAAGGCCTACTCTTGCACAAGTTTCCGTGCGCTGGGCTCTAGTTTAATTTATAAATGCCTCAGTTAGCGCAGGACTAGAGCTCTGGATGGTAGAATCTGGGTGGGAGTGGCTTGTGACAGAGTGGCCCTGAGAGTAGTGTGTGTCTTTCCCTTTTGTTTTAAAGATGCGCTGGATGAAGACCTGCCACGTGTCCAGCCTGGATCACCTCCTGCCCCGAACGGCTTCCGGCAGTACAGCAATCGCTCCGTGTCGCCCAGTCAGGGGCGGGGGCCGTGCGGACAGGCCCTCCCCACCCCGAGCCGGGCGCCTGCGCAGGGCCCGAGTGTGGGGAGGCCCCCAGCTCTGGGTCAGGCGGAGCAGACCCCCCTGGCCAGCCCGGTGCAGGGTGACAGCGGCCCCGGGTACGAGACAGACAGCAGCCTGGACTCTCGAGGTAAAGGCAGCAGCCACCGTAGCAGCGGCAGCAGGAGTCGGAGCCGCGGCTGGAAGCCCATGAGAGAAGCGCTGAACGTGGACAGTGTCTTCAGCGACAGCGAGAGGAGACAGCACAGCCCGCGGCACAAGCCCGGCGCCAGCCACCCCCCCAGGGGCAGCGGGGACCAGGGTCCCGGCCGCTGGCCCACAGAGCCGCCCCAGCAGACGAGCTTGATGACCATCTACGAGGACGAAGTGCGGCAGGAGCTGGGCAGCAGGAGTTCCCTCCAGGGCCCGGGGAAAGGCCTCTCGGACACGGGCGTCCCTGCCGACGCGTGGCCGGGGCCAAGGACCGAGTCCGGCTATGAGAGCAGCGACCACGTCAGCAGCGGCTCGGCCAGCCTGGACTCGCCGGGCGGGGACGGCGCCGGGAGCGCGGAGCCCAGGTAGCTCAGGCACAGAGCCCACCGGCTCTCGTTAATTATTCGAAGTGGCTTCCAAAGTCCGGGTTTGTGAGGTGTGATGGGAAGAGCTTGAGCTCACAGGAACGACCCCCGGGACACTCTTTGTTCGTTATGTCAAGTTTTTATTTTCAATAGTTCTTTCCGATCCCAACACACGGCTGTGTAGGAAATGGAGATAGAGGAATGCATTCTCATGGTCAACACGTTGGAAACTATTGGAAGATGCCGCAGGGTGTAAAGCACAGCTTTTAAGTGGGTTGTTTAATTCCTCCAACTAGTTCATGGCAATTCTCCCTCTCCGATGGGTGACTCGGAAGTGGGGATATTTCACGCAGTCACAACCTTGCCGTGGAGCGTGGTTTTCCTCAGCAGAGCGAAGCATGCAACCAGGCCGTAGGTTTGTGCTCAGTGACTGAGCGTGTGCTGTCCCGGGAACCCTGCCCCCAGCCTGCTCAGCGGCTGGCTTTGTGGGTCAGACTAGCGACTTTTTCTGCTTTTAATTCATCCAAAACATTCCGATTTGATATTAGATGGTGTTCTACCACCTGCATTATTAAAAGGCCAGATTTGCAGAAATCAGCTGCCCGTGTTCCATTAACATGGCCGGGAACTTTTTGTCAGCAGAGTAATTGCTCTGGGAAGGGGTTACTCAGGAAGGTAGAAAGGTTCATGGCTTCGTAACCTTGGGTTTTAATTATTGGGCAAATTAAGTTTACTTCTTCGCCCTGATCTGCTCTGCCCTGAAGTGCTAGGGCTGTGAGTGTCTGCTGAGAGGTAAGTGAAATTGTATGCATTAACCATTGCTTAACGGGTGTTGTTTCTTTGTCTCAGAGGAAACTGAAATAGTAATTCCTGGTGGCTGAGGTGTCTGGTGTGTGTTTTGTTCTATTTTTTAGTGACCAGAGTAAGATAAGCAGCCGAAATGCAGAGCGTGTGAACGGCACCTCCCAGCAGAGTAGAAACCACCTGGAAGGTAAACTTTTATTCACATAGATTGCACTTGTGGTCAGAAGAGTAAGGAAGCTATAAGAAGCAGTCCTGTCCCTGAGAAGTCGGGAGCCTGAGGTGGAAGTGGGCGGAGCCTGTGCTGGGAGCCTTTGAGGAGACAGGAAGGGGAGTGTCCGCTCGGTGAGGACAGCAGAGTCCAGGGTACAGGGTCCTAGCGCAGTGTGTGTGGTTCATGTCGTGTGCAGGACTGTCAGTCTGCTGATGGACCCGGTGATCACGGGCCCCAGCAACAGGACTTCATCGGTACTGATGCTTCTCTGATCACTGCCATATGGGGATGGGGGTACCCCACACAGAAAATTAGGGTGTTTGTTCCTAACGCTTCACCTGCGCTCACCGCACTGGCCAGGCAGGCCTCGGCCACAGGCCTAATTGCAGAGGGAGGGACCAGTCACAGGGCCCGGATGCTGAGCTGCTGCTTGCATGACACCCTGGTGTCTACCCACAGGGTCAGGGCAGAGAGAAACTGGTCAGCAGCTGCACGGCAAGTTCATTCTGGAAACAGTGGGCAGCGGGGAGAGTTACTCCAGTGCCTTGTCAGCAGCGAGTAGTGTCCCGGAAGCCAAGGATGCTGTGGGGGGTGCGGCGTGTATCATGTACAGAACTCGGCACTGCTGTCGAGGGGCCCACGTTGTCTGGGTCGCTCAGGGAACCATGAGCAATTACCATTGAGGTTGCAGGAACCGACAGTAGAAATGGTAAAATTCAGAGGATTAAAAGGGATTTAATTTTTCAAAATAAAGAATAGCCATAAATATCAAACTTTAAAGCTTGTTTTTGGGGGTAAAAAAAAAAAAAAAAAAAGCTTGTTTTTAGTGTTTATTGTCCTGAAGGCTGTTGTGGAGGTTATTGTTCAGGTAGCAAACTTTGAATGTGGTTAAGTGCTATTATTTTGTTTGCATCAAAGGGTATAATATCAGAAGGAAACACTGATACTGAGGAAATAGTCTATGGCCATACCACCCTGAACGCGCCCGATCTCGTCTGATACTGAGGAAATAACCTTCCTTTCCCATATAAATGTCTCGCCTGTTTAACAAGTCTGATAACGTCTGGTGAGCAAGTATTGCAGGAAGCAGCGAAGGGCTGGCCAGAGGCCACGGCGAGGTGGGGAGCGTGAACAATGACCCCAGCGCAGGATCTTGGCAGAACGGCGCTGGCCTCCTGGAGTGTATCGCACAGGTCGCGGCCTGTGGCCAGGAGTGAGAGCGTGAGAGTGCGCCTGGGTTTCCCGGGGCTCTGAGAGGGCAGGCAGCCCTTAGAACGTGGTTCTCGGCATGTTTGCATTGGTTTCAGAGAGGAGGGCAGGGGGAGAGAGAAACCCCAATGGGAGAGTGAGTCACTGATCGGCTGCCTCCTGCACGCCCTAATGGGGTCGAGCCTGCCACCCAGGCACATGCCCTTAACTGGAACCCAACCCAGGACCCTTCAGCCTGCACGCCAGCGCTCTGTTCCCTGAGCCAAGCCAGCCAGGACTGAGACGATTCTTATTGTGGTGAAACATGCAGGGCGTTTGCCATTCCAATAGCCTTTCTAAGTGACAGCCCTATGGCATGAGGTACACTCACATTGTTCTGCAGCCTGCACCTCCTCACCTCCACCCTCATCTTCTCACTGAAACTCTGTCCCCATCCCTCCCTTCCTCTTCCTCCCCTCCTCCCTACCCTGCCCGCAGTCACCTTGCTGTCTGTCTCTGAACTGGACTAGTCCAGGCACCCCAGAAAAGGGATAGAACTGTTTTGTGGTTGGCTTGCTTCACCTCACACAATGTCTTCAGGCTTTGGCCATACAGCAGCCATATTTTCTAGGCGGAATAGTGTTCCCTGGTGGGACCTGACGCGTTCTTGTTTGTCCCTCTCTGCTGTCGGACACTCGGGCCATCTCCGTCTGTGGCACTGGGTGTGGCACTGGGAGCGGCACTCTGAGAGCCCGAGTGGCTGCTGGCCCTGTGGTCCTTCTGGTTAGTTCCTGAGAAGCCATTCTGCCGTTCCACAGCGCCCTTCCGTGCCCGCGGTGCGCCGCGCTCCACCCGCCCAGCACGCATGTCACCGGGCTCTCTGATGGCTGCCATCCTGATGGGTGTGCAGTCCTCTTTTTGTTTAGCTACACAAATCGCATCTGTTAAAATCATTTCTGCCCAGCCACGTGGCCTGTGAACCGGGAGGTCACGGTTCAATTCCCAAAGCATACGCCTGCACTGAGGACTCAATCCCCAGTAGGAGGCTGTCGGAAGCAACCGATGGATGATGTTTCTCTCTCATTGATGTTTCTATTTCTCTCTCCTCCTCCTTCCCCTCTCTTTAAATCAATAAAAATATGTCCACTCATCTGCTGATGGGCACTTGGGCTGTGTCCAGATCTCAGCTATTGTAAGTTGTGCTGCTATGAATATAGAGTTGCACACATTCTTTCGGATTGGTGTTCCGGGTTTCTTAGGATATATTCCTAGAAGTGGGATCACTGGGTCAAAATGCAGATTCATATTTAACTTTATAAGGAAACCCCATACTGCTCTCCACAGTGGCTGCCCCAGTCTGCACTCCCACCAGCAGTGCATGAGGCTCCCTTTCTCTGCGTCCTCGCCAGCACTTGGCATTTGTTGATGTGCTGCTGCAGCCATTCCGACAGGTGTGAGGTGATAGCCCAGTGCCCATCAGCAGAGGAGTGGATAAAAAGCAGTGGTACATCTACACCATGGAGTACTACACTGCTGTGAAAACGAAGGATCTCTTACCCTTTGCAACAGCATGGGGGACCTGGAGAGATTGTGCTGAGTTAAATAAGCCACTCAGAGAAAGACAAGTATCACATGATCTCACTCATACGTGGAATCTAATGAATAAAATAAATCTAGAGACATAGAAGCTCAGAGGGAAGGCGGGGAGGGTGGGTGGTGGGGAAGTGGTCAGCTAAAGAGCTTGTGTGCATATGTGCCTAAGCCATGGACACTGCCAATAGTGAGGTGAAGGTCTGGGGCGGGGGCGGGGGGCAGGCTAGAAGGGGTCAGTGGGGGAATGGGGGGCATATGTAATACTTTCAACAATAAAGATTTAAAAATAAATATAAAAAAAGAACTGAGATGGATTTATAGTGTCATCTAAAATAAAGCATGACTGAAGTATAGACACCCTAATTTTTTTTTTTTTTTTATTTCTTATTCAGTGCACATCAGACCCCCATGGTTCTTACTGGCTTTGCCTTGCTCACGTCCCTGCCCTGGGTGTCTGTGCCCCTGCCCAGGCCTGGGAAGTGGATATATTAGGCAGTTAGGGAAGTATGCCTGGATCTCAGGACAGATGCTGTATTTGGACTCGTCAGCACATATGTGAGCTGAATGGCATGGGCATGAGCTGTAGCCCTCAACAGAACTGGAGATGTGGAAGCAAACAATAGAAAAAGAAAGGAAGGATCTTTCACCAGTTTATTTTGTTCATTAGATTCCACATGAGTGGGGTTTGCTAGGTGAGAAAGGTGAACCAGGACAGGGAGAAGGAATCATGTTGGGAAAATGTGAGGAGTAGCTGGGAAGGCTGAGAATACCCAGCAGGGGGTCATCCTGGGGGACCTGGGGAGCTTCCTGAGGGGTCAGGGTCACAGTGAACAGAGTAGGGTTAGATGTCCACTTCAGCAGTGGTCCTCAGGGATGCCCGAGAGCCAGCGGGCTGGAGGACGAGGCGTGAAGCAGAGGGAAGCATTGGGAAGTGTGTGTGTGTGTGTGTGTGTGTGTGTGTGTGTGTGTGTATACCTAAGCAACCATTGAACCATTCCACCAGTGTTCTTGGTGCTCGCTCACGTGTGTCAGACCGCGGGGGGAGTGTTCCCCAGAGGGTATCTGGGAAGGGTACAGGGCTCAATCTTTCAACTTCTCTGAACTCACTGAAATTATCTATACTAAAGACTGGGTCAACCGAACATCTTTGGTTGTCTAGTCCTCCTTCCTGACAAAGCCACAGTGGCAGGGGGCTGAGGCAGAGGCAGTTAGGCGTGATCAGACCAGCAGGGGAGCAGTTATGGGCTATCAGGTTGCCAGGGGAGGGTGGTTAGGGGCAATCAGGCCAGCAGGGGAGGGCAGTTAGGGGAAATCAAGCATAGGTGGTTATGGGTGATCAGGCAGACAGGCAGAGGTAGTTAGGGAAAATTAGGCAGGCAGGCAGAGTGGTTAGGGGTGATCAGGCAGGAAGGTAGGTGAGTGGTTAGGAACTGACGTCCCAGGTTGTGAGAGGAATATTTGACTGCCAGTTTAAACCAGCAGCAGACATCCCCTAAGGGATCCCGGATTGGAGAGGGTGCAAGCCAGGCTGAGGGATCCCCCCTCCCATGCACAAATTTCATGCATCAGGGCCTCTAGTGTGTGTGTGTGTATGTGTGTGTGTGTGTGTGTGTGTACCTAAGCAACCATTAAACCATTCCACCAGTAACTATGATGCACACTGACCACCAGGGGGCAGACACTCTGACCAGTGGTGTTAGCTTGCTGCTGGATTCCAGTTGAGCAATTAGGATTGGGTGAGACAGGCTGGACATGCCATGGAGCCCTCCTGCAGCCCCTCTCTGGCCCTCATCGTGCACTGGTGGGGTCCCTCAGCCTGGCCTGTGCTCTCTCACAATCCAGGACTCCTTGGAGGATATTGGAGAGCCGGTTTCGGCCCAATACCTGCAGGCCAGACTGAGGGACCCCACCGGTGCACAAATCCATGCACCAGGCCTCTATTTTCAAATAAAAAGTATTCCCAGTAGAATTGAAAGTAAATAACAGGGAAGTAGAGATGTGGCTTTACCACGCCTGTCCAACCTTGGCTGGGAACAGCCCAGCAGCACCTGGAGGAGGAAAATGAAGGCCAGAGCTCAGTGTGGCAATCGTGTCAGGAGTAAGGAATAAGGATGCCCGAGGAGGAGGAGGTGTGGGGGCGGGAGCTGGGCGGGCAGGATGGCCAGGGCGTGGTGTGTGGAGGGAGAGCTGGAGGGAGCCAGGAGGAGGCAGGCCTGGTGGGAGGACACGGGGCCTCCCTCCCTGTGCTGTGCTCAGTGGGTGTTTCAGGAGTTCACACCCAGTGGTTATCTCCCCAGGAGCTGAGGGTATCTGCTCAGTCATGTATGCTCAGCTATTACAGATCATACACAATGAGTCTCAAAGGGATTATTGGGCTTTTCAGAAAACTTTTGCCACCAACTTTGGAGTCAGCAATCCTTGGCTCAGTCTCAGTTGAGGGTAGAATTCAGCCTTAGTTCAAGCTGAGAATCTGGACCTTGGAAATAACAAGTTAATCTGCCATTTAAAAAAATCTGTTAATTCCCTGACTTTCTTACTACAAAAAAGTCTACTTCCACTCTTTTGATACTGTGAAAGAGACTACCCTTAATAGTGTTAAATCCAGAATCAGTAAATGAAAAAAAATTTCATTGGAAGAGTTTGTACATGTGCCTGTTGACTTTCTCTGAGGTTTCCCCCCCAAAAACTGCATTGTATTTAAAACAACCCATAAGAATAAAAGCATAATATGCTAATTAGACCGAACAGCCAAATGTCCTTCCGGACAAAGCTGCGGCGGCTGCGAGGGCCAAGGGCAGGCCGCTGCAGCGGCCGGCAGCGGCAGCAGCACGGAGTGATGGGAGCGGCGCCTTCCCTGAGGGCTCCTGGACTGAGGGGGCAGGCTGGGCGGAGGGACCTCCTCCAGGGCATGGCTCTCCGTGCAGCGTCAGAGAGTGTATCTGGAGGAGAGGTGCTTTCGCCGGTTGGCTGGTTCCTTGATGCCACATTTATTTTGTTTTCTGAGTGTCCCCAACTGCAGAGGGTAGTGATGGCACACAGCACCACCACATGTTGTTGTCATTTTTAAAACTAAGTGTTTGGTATTGAAATTAAGTTTGTCGCAAAATAGCATTATTTACTTTTTGTTTAATTGTAATTCCAGTGAGAAAAGTTTCCAACTCCTGTCTTTTTATTTTGTATCATCCCAATATTTAGTTCCCTGGGAGTGTTGGTAAAGTAGCCACTCATGCCCTGACCGCTGTGGCTCAGTGAATAGAGCATCGGCCTGCGGACTGAAGGGTCACAGGTTCGATTCTGGTCAAGGGCATGCACCTTGGTTGTGGGCACATCCCCAGTATGGGGTGTGCAGAAGGCAGCTGATTGATGTTTCTCTCTCATCGATGTTTCTAATTCTCTATCCTTCTCCCTTCCTCTCTATAAAAAATCAATAAAATATATATTTTTTAAGTAGCTACTCATTCCTACAGGATAAATTTAGCCAGGAATAGTTATCCAGTGAAATTCTGTGCTTTTTCTAAAGTATTCAGACCATATTTGCTTGTCTTATCATTGTAGACTAGGTCATTAATTAGTATATGCCTGCTCTTGAATGGTTAGGCTTTGTAATGTAGTGTTTCTCTTTATTCTGAAATCTCCGGACAGCGAGAGGGCAGTTTGGTTTTATGGCTCCTTAAGTCTGTTCCTGACTGCTGGGCTTTGGTTTTTTTTGTATACAGCATCAAAGTTAGCATTTTTAAAGTGCTCTGCCCTGACATCATCTGTGCCAAGTGCTAATCTCGGTCTGTTTTAGATTTGCAAAGAACCTGGAGCCAAAATGCCTGTAAAGACACATGGATGTCTGTGTCAGCAGGAGAGGAAAATAACGCATCTATTTTTAAGGTAGTGGAATTCTGAAGTCAGACCACTTGGTTGAATGCTTGCCATAGTGACTGACATTCCACACCCTCAGAGCCTCTGCTGCCCGCTGCTGCCTGGGGTGTGTGTGGACACTTGGACAGAAGGAAAGCATTCTTTAAGAATTGTTTATTTCTTGTGTGTGTGTGTGTCTGTTAGACTTGAAATTATGTGTAAGCTAAAAAGTAAAATAAATATTCTAAAGTTAATATCAAAACTGGTAGGAAATTATAATGTAATTTTAAATTACAGATGTTTTAGGCTTTAAATATTGAAAAATTAGCCAGGTTCTTTTGACATTACTTTTTAACCATAAAGTAACACAGGAGAGGGGGGAGGCTTAGTTTTTGAGTATCAGACGTCTGGGGTGGCGGAAGGTAAATATACGTATGGCGGCTCTCTTCCGCACTAAGACTGGGGCATCACACTCCTTTTATTCAGGCGGCACCACGTGGTGCTCGGTGGAGACCTGATAGGTGGGGAGGTCAGAGATGGCTCAGGGTCCACTCCCTGGCCCGGGCCCGGGAGCTGGGCCACGGTGGACGGGGGGCTGACCTAAAGGAGGAAACGGCGCTGCCCAGGCAGTTGCTTGTTGGTTCTGTAGATTTCCATTGTGTGTCTGGCCCCTGGGAACCAGTAACAAGTGAAGAACTTCCTGGTCTGGTGGGAGTCAGACCTGTGGCTCCCCATTCCGCTGGGAGGTGTCAGTACGTGTGAGCAGCGTCGCAAAGAAGTATTAAATCCTGTGAATAGTATACAGCTCTTGCTTGGGAACTGCTTCAGGATTTAACTTGCAGAACTGATCAAAGTCAAAAAACAGATTTTTTGGTAGGGTAATGTTTAGATGTTTGGATCAACTATGGATTCTACCTGAATTCGGAGGCACAGGGTAGTTTTTATACATATATCCTGAAGATCAACTTAGGGATAAAGGGCATCTATGATAGAGTTCCAGATTATTGTTTAAAAAATAAAGTTCTGTTTTAATACCTTTGTTTTATTTTCTTTTATCTCTAATTTGGTGTGCCTGAGGAGAGAAAATTGAGATAAAAGAACATGATGAAAAGGTCACCTAAAATAAAGAGAATACAGAAACTTAGTAGAACTGTACAGAGTATAGGCAATTAGTTGAAAATGCAAGCTGATGCCATGTATTTTACTTTGTGTGGGCACCAGCCCCTTAAAGTGCATCGTGGGACTCGATGTTCAAACCAGCGGCCCAGCTTCGTCAGACAGACGCTGTGGATGACCTTGTACCGAGGGCACATGCGCACGAGGCTCCGGGCGCTGGGAGCCCCGTGTGACTGCCGCCTGCCCGCAGCGGAGCGGGGAGTGTCTCAGGGCATGGCTGCCGGAGCTCTTAGGAAGACAGCTGTTTGAATGGAGAGAGTGGTTTACAAGCCTTTTAACCGCATGTCATTATATTGTTACAAAACACCAAGGACCTCTGGGTTATACTTATCGATACTTGCTCTAGTAGGCATTAGGCCAAACATTTTAAACATCTATTTACTCAAAGTATGTCTTTACTTTACTCACACATGGTTTTATAACAGCCATGATCTTTATTTGGAATTATTGGTTTACTAAATTACATAAGTCTTCTAGTCGCTGACACTTTTATTTTTTTAGGAATAGTTCATCCTTACTCCCCCTCTCCCCCCAGTTCTTTACCACCCTGTTGCCGTCCATGCTGTGCATATGAGTGTGTGAGCTCTTTGGTGTCTCTTCTTGTCCCCCCGCCCCCACATCGAGGTATGTCAGTCTCTTCCATGCCTCCTTGCTTCAGGTCTTATGATACTATCTTTATATATCATTTTTTAAGCCCTGTTTGTTGATATCCCCACTGACTTTAGCAGAAAGTCTTTGTAATTATTGGGAAGCTAAAAAACTCACAGAGGTAGATAATAAGTTTTTCAAAAGTCTTACTTTGATCTAAAATCTTGAATTTCATCATTGGCAATAAACACTGCCAGTTGGTTTTCTTGGAGTCACATGTTCACTTCTTTAACGTTCAAGAAAATTTCTGCCAAATAACCAAGTCTGATAACCCACATTTGTCATCGTTTTCAGTAAAAATGGTGTTCAGTTGTAGAGAGTCAATAAAGTCATTATTATCCATTTCTCACAACCCACGTGGGCGGTCAGGGTTGGGGTTAGTCGGTGGTGGTGGTGGTGGTGTATCGTGGCCCCCGGGGTGCTCCTACCTGTGAGGCAGGGAAATCAGTCCTGTGGCCTCAGTGCTAAGGGAGCGGCATTGTCGGCTGAGGGCCCGGTTCGCCGTGACTCCAGGCTCCCACCGAGCCCTCCGTCTTCGGTGAGGGTTCTGTACCTCTTAGCGGTGGGCCTCGGGTACGTGGGACACGGGCACCTGGGCCTCGAGCACCTGGGACACGGGCCCCAGGCCGTGCCGAACCAGAGAGAAGAGCATAATTCAGGCATCACTGACACTGGAAGTGGTAACACGAAGGAAGAGCCATTCTGTGGAAAGGGCCGGAAAAGAGGTGCTGTTTGAGCTGAGTCCTGAGGTATCCGTTTGTTTGTTAATCGGAAGGTTTTTAATGCTCCCCCTTTCCTCCCTCCCCAGGCTGTAGAAAAGAATTCAAGAACTTGGAAGTAGGCTGTAAGTCTCATGACCCAGAATCCCATCCACAAACGAAACCCCCTGTGATAAAAAGGTAAGGAGAGACATTGGGAACAGTAATATCTTTTCCTAAGGGGGTGCATCAGAGGAACGCCGTGCTCACCAGAGGCCCAGTGCACGCAGCCGTGGTCTGCGGCATGGTGATGCCCATCTTTTTGGGGTCAGCTAGCAGGATGTACACTAAGGAGAGGCGCCACGGGTGCTACACGGTTGTTTCAATCCTCATAGATCCTTACAAAGTGGGTGGTATTTTGCAAGAGAAGATTTGGGACTTAGATGAAGTAATTTGTCCAAAGTAGGGAGCTGAAACCTGACTGCAGCTCTCGTCTACCTAGCAAAGCTCCTCGTCACTATGTAATGCCCATGATAAAAATGACCCGGTGAGCAGAAGTATTTTTATCTCCATCTTGGATGTTAATTACTACCTAAGCAGACGTTATCTTGGTGAACTAGATTATTTTAAATTAGTGTCCTATGCTTACGTGTCAGGATTAAAGTCCCTAGTTACTATGAACTCTGCAGTGCTGGTTGGGAAGTGTCTAAGGGGAAGGAAGTGTTTGCTGGGACTATTCATGAAGTCGCCGAACGTGTCTGCTGGGCGGTGAGTGAGTGGCCAGCTCCTCCAGCTCCGCATGCCGCCACGTGGGGCTGTAGCTTCGCTTTGTGTTTCCACTTCAGGCCCCGAGGACGCGAGCCCAGCGGGAAGCTGCTCCCTGCGGCAGGCCCACCTGTCCTCCGGGACCTCGCAGCCAGTGAGCACCCCCCGACGGGGGAGCTTGAACAGGCCAGCGAGGGCCAGTTTCCCGCGCGGCCAGATGGAGGCAGTTCCGAGGGGACAGGTTTACGTGCTCAAACTGATGCTAGTGCTGCTTCTGGAATGAGAAGGAGCAGTGATGAGGTCTCACCAGCCTCGGTGTGGCCTGTGCCCGGGAGAGCTGCCCTCCTCGCCCGGCAGTGCACAGCAACGGACTCGTGTCACCCAGAGGCTTCCCAGTCCAGGGGCCGCGGGGCTCCGTCCACTCACAGAGCCGACGATTGCCAGGTGCCAACACTCACTTGCCAGAGTCCACCCCCCCCTCTGCCACCAAAAAGGTATGCTGTGCCCGGCGTGCCACAGCCGGGGAAAACCAGCCCTGAACCGGACGCCAGGCCCCCAGAGGCGCCCAGAGCACGCTCGGCTGGCCCTCCGTCACTCTGTGCTGGGACGGCAGCCGCACCAGGCTCCATGGCGAGCGCCCTGTCCAGGGACGAGAGGCCCAAGCAGCCGGTCCCAGCGCGAGAGCGCGTGGGCGCCCCCCGGAGCCACCCGGCCAGCATGGCCAACGGTGCCCCAGCAGGCCTGGGTGCAGGGGGCGCTGCTCTGTGCCAACCAGCAGCAGACCGGAGCCCGGCCTGGCCCGGGGACACCGTCTCCCTCACCACCTACTTCTCCGTCGACAGCTGCATGACCGACACGTACAGGCTGAAGTACCACCAGCGGCCCCGGCTCTGCTTCCCGGAGAGCTCCGGCTCTGGCTCTGGCTGCGGGAACTCGGCCCCGGTGCCTGCGCAGCCGGACAGCCTCGGGGTGAGCTGCCCTCCTGAGCACAGACACAAGCCCAGCGTCCACTGTGACAGGTGAACCACGACCCGCAGCCTCACGCGCAGGCCATCACAGCACGGGGAGATGGACGGACTGCACCGAGTGAACCATGAGGTTAAAGCCGTGCTGTTTCCAAATCATCCGTCACTTTAACGCTCTCTCGTACGTTGTACCTCGAGACAATCAACTTACTGGGTTTTAGAAATCCCGTGAGTCATCTTGGCTTGCCTCGAAAAACAGACAATCAGGGATGTGCAAAAAGTCACTTATTGTGTGGTGTGGTTGACTAAAAATGGAGTCTGTCCCTTTGTTTGTGGTTGTAGAATCCGAGTGAGAAGAGTCAGACCTCATGTGTGGAGATAGCTACCCCGGAACAGTGCCGGGGGTGTAGTCGGTAGGCAAACAGGCTGGGCTTTCTGAACAAGCACTTTCTCGTGGGGCCAAAGGACACTTCGCCTTCCTATGGGTTCCGACTTCTGGGATAGTCGGCCACGTGTGACCTCTCCATGTCTTAGGAAATACCGACTCATGAAATGGATGGCATTTGGGGGAAAAGCCTTAATGATAAAGACTTTTTTAAAATATATATATTTTTTACTGATTTCAGAGAAGTGAGAGGTTAATAGAAATAGAAACATCATGATGAGAGAGGATCATTGATCGGCTGCCTCCTGTACACCCCACACTGGGGATTGAGCCTGCAACCTGGCATGTGCCCTGACTGGGAATCAAACCATGACCTCCTGGTTCATAGGTGGATGCTCAACCACTGAGCCACACTGCTGGGCAATAAAAAATTTTAAATTCAATACTCAAGGTCAAAACAGGAGAAACTTAATTTTGCTCCTAGAACTCTTATCTTCAGAATGCCTAGTTAACATCAATTTGGCCTTTGACTGTTGTATCCATAAACAATACTTCAGCCAGGTAAGCTAAAAATAATAAAGTATTTAGCGTTAGTATTTATTTATCATGTTACTTTTTTAAGCTTTTGTATGCAATGTGAACGCTTTTTACTTTGGGTAGGTTTACTGTGGGCTGCTAGGAACCAGTGTGGGCAGTTGACCTGGAGCCCTGGGAACCTCACTGTGACCGCCTGGACTTCCCTGCCGTCATCTCTCCCGAATCTAGGATGGCAGCCTGTTTTATTGATTTTCTGATTCTTGTATCTGAAAATCTTACTGGGTTTCCAGATAAAATTGTTGCCTTTGATTTAGAGGGTTTAATTTTAATGAAATGTCCTTTTACCCTAACTACGTTCATGGAGAAGGCTCTATTTTTAAATAAAATAATCTTCCATTATCACGATGAACTCACAAGTGGGAGTTACTTTAATTGTCTATTACTTTACTTTAGTAGTCGTCGTTTTGTTCTGAGGAACCTAACTGTGGCTCAGCTGAGTTTCACATTGTCCACTTCAGAGAACGACACACCGAAAGCTTTTCTTGCCTTTGCCGATGGTAGTTTATAGGTAGGATTTGGTCACTCTACAAACTGATTACTAAATTTAATACTTTGACAAATTCCAAAAATTATTCCAAAGTGTAAATGACTAACAATACTTCCAAATAGGAAGTAATTGCTTATAAAAGTCTAACTTACCCAGTTTTCAAATCTTACAGTTGTCTTCCACCAAGAAGGGTTTTAATAGCCTTTTCTAACCATGACAGTGATTATCACCTCTCTTCATTTAGAAATACTTGAATATCAACGGATTTTAAATTTTATCTTTTAAGAAAGCTTATTTTAACATGACTGAGTATGGAGCATTTGTAAATATTGTAAACTTTGTAAAATTGTATTTGAAATGTCAGTGTATATAAATAGTGCTTTTATAACATTGTAAAATACTAGAAAACGGGCTTCAAGTATTTTTAATGGCTCTCAAAACCTTTTGTGTAGGTTTTTATTCTACTGATCAAGATGTTCAGTTGAGATGTATTATTATTTGAAATAGTTAAAGCAATTTCTGATATTTAACAATCTCATAGATTTGAATTTACACTCACAATTGAGTTTAAACATCAACTAGAAATGTCCCTTTTGGCTCGTAAGTGCTGTCCAGTCGGAACATCCCGAGTCATGTACCAGCTCGGACAGGCTAGAAATGACCGTTCGTCTCTATGTGATCCAACACTCCAAACACAGTTTGAGTGCTTACTTAGTAACTAATAATTCACATGTACAATTTTTATTTTTAGGGTGCCTATTTTTTATAGGTATCTTCCGCTTATAAACTTACTATGGTAACTTTTGAAATAATGCAACCAATTGTCTTCCAAATATTCTATTTTCATGTGAAATGAGTTTTTCCAGTTCAGATTTTTCGGTTTTTTTTTTTTTTTTAGATAAGCTGTTCTTTGTTGAATCTTTGCATTCCTGAACTTTCTTCTCTCCCCTCCCCCATGTGGATTATGTATTTTATGTGAAATATGTCAATTTAAAGTTCAGGGGACATGGAATATCACTGACCATCAAGTGTCATCCCGGGAGGCTCCCAAGGGAAAGGCAGTGAAGCCAAAAGCAGCTTCATAGGAGCTGGCGGGCTCGGTGAGGAGCCAGGTAGCACTCCAGGCCTGTGATGAGGGCTCTGGCACACAGCTCCTCAGCTCCACCAGAGCCGTGGGGAAGCAGGCGTGTGCCAGGGAAGCATGGATGTTGACACTTGAACGTCATACAATTTCTACATGTTCGGAGATAATCTGTTCTCCCCTGTTGCTTTCTCAGCTCCTGGGCCTTATAAGAGAGGCAGCGGACCGGCTGTGGCCCATTGGCCAGTTTCAGGAGCCGTGTCCTGGAGCATCATCCACACTGGATGCCCTCCTGACCCTCGGCACCTGTGGGCTCTGAGTCTGCAGTTCGAGGCTGGGCACAGGCAGACCTTCATACCCCAACGCTTTCAGGCTAACGGCCTTCCTCACAATTGCTAATGTGCCAGTTCATTTCAAATGGTTGTGGACAATCGTTTTAAGCTTGTGAAATTTATCAGATTAAAGTCATATTGCTGTCATTCTTGTGGTGTCTTTGTCCTTGCTGTAGCAAGTGTGCCAACGTTCCTGGCGTCCCATTACCAGGGCGGAGGCTGAGGAGGCGGCACTGCTTGAGGCCACAGCTCAGCGGTAGTGCCATTTCTTACTCAGCATCTGGAGGACAGGTTCCGCCTCACCTGCCACTTCTGGTGCCATTCACAGTCAGGCCCAGCTCAGAGCCTCCGTGCACCCGCGTAGAAATGCTTCGAAGGTGCCATCGATGGATGGAGGCTGATTTTAGGCACGGAAAGGTAGTATGCAGTGCAAGCCCATGTGTGACAACAGTAAGCAAGCTACATGAGTACTTCCATCCTGTCAGCCTCACATGTGCATCAGGCCAAAGTCAGCTGCACAATAAACTTTATTGGACAAAATTACCAGCCAGCAACACAGAAACAATTCATATAATGTTTGGATACGCAAGGAAATTTCAGGTCTGTTTCTCTGATGCTACCACCTTTGCCCAAGAGGTTTTCCTCAGACATATCAACGGTGCCTGGAAGCACTGTTAACCTGTAGGTGACAGATCCCACTGTACCCCAAGTGCCATCCTGAACGGAAGAGGATGCAGAGTTCACCAGATCTATGCCTTGATTTGAAAGAGGGCATATCCCCCAAAATGTAGACAACTCACATACATCAAACGTCCCTAATTTCGACAAGAGGCTGTTCCAGGCATTGTTTATACGGTAGTATCTGTCCTGTCACGTTTGAAAGGTTTGTTGTAGCTGCCCTGCAAGTGTGGCCCTCTCATCCAATGCCAGCTGTGCACTCCGAGAAGGTAAATTCTTGTTTATTTAGATAAAAACCAAGGTGCTGAGTTCCAGGAAGGCAGTGATTTTTGTTTTGTTCACTGTACCTAATCCATACAAGTGCTCAAATGTTTGTTGAATGAATGAATATGCTGATTTTGCTGAATAGTTACAGTAATTATAAAAACAAAGGTGTTTTGGCCGCAAGTATTTTTAATGTAACCCCAATAATAAATAAAAGGACTGAAACACACTGTCCTATTTTAAGGAGTTCAAGAGCTTAAAAGGAAGAGGGGGAGCACTGGGCAGGAAGAGCTGCCCATTAGCTTTCCACTACTGGCTACTACATACCTTCTCCAGGGTCATGGTGGCCTGGCAGCCAGGCAGAGAGGGGCCCCCTCAATCTACAACTTCAGTAATCTGTAGACCTGCATTTTCTGTATAGCTTTTAATTCTTTTCTAAAATTCTCCCCTTGCTTTCTAGGAATTTAATTTTAGATACTTCACTTTAATAATTCACCATATATAATATTGTATCATACTGTAAACCCTGGTCAACCCTTAAAATGTTAAGGGAGTCATTGCTGTAGATCTTAATGAATATACTAAGCCTTTCTGTACAATTATTTTAATTCAGCTCCCAAAAAGCCACCAGCTATTTGAAGAAAGTTTTTAAACATGAATCAAAGAATCTAGTTTTCAGGACTTAGTTATGCTGAGTCACTACCCATTTATTATAGTCCTCCAAAGAGTAAGGAATGTGTAAAAAGAAAGAAGATTCCTTAAGAGTTTGAAATTCTTCTGTTGCACAATCCTGTCTTTGTTCAAGAAGTTGTAAGTCATGTTCAGAGTTCAGTCCAGGAGCCAACTTCTTGATGTAGATACCAGGCAACCCATCTGTAAAAACCGAGTATTTGTCAACAGTGTTTACTTTTTCTTCCCACAACACTTTATGCCAACTTCTGAAATTGACTGTCTCGGTGACTTGCCTATTCCGGATGAATGACATTGACAAGAGCAAAAAATAGCCCGAGCCATTGACCAAAATGCTTCTGTTTTCTACCCAGAGCTGAAAATTCAGGTGATTAAAAAAAAAAAAAATCATTACACTTGGGGCAATCTCTACCAAAAGGGGGCGGAGGCGAAGAGTGGATACTCTCCCTCTTTACAAGTGGCCCCACGGAAGATTTCACAGAATCACCAACTCCCCCATCCGCCACCCACCTTCCCCCTGCTCACCTGCCAGAGCCAAGAACCCGGAGGCAGGGGCCTCGGTACCCTCTTTCGCTCCCCAGCGTGATGACGAGGGAATGGAGAACCCCGGCCCAGGCGGCCTCTGATCCCTTCGCCCACAGGCGCCTCCGCTCCGGCTTCCGGGCTCCACTGGACCCCTCCGCGCCCCCCCCCTTCAGTCCTGCGTCCCCTCCTCCTCTCCTTCCCCCCTCGCGGCCGGCACTGCCCTCGGGGGCGGCTGGGAAGAGGACTGGCCGGGGACCCGAGCTCGGAGCTCTGCCCGCGGTGCGGGGGTCCGGCCGGGTCCGGGGGGAAAGCTAACGCCTCGCCTGGGACCCGAGCCCCGCAGGCAGACCCGAGCCCCGGCGCGGCCTCATGTCTCCGGGGCGAGCACCCCTTCCCGGCTCCCCCGCGGCCGCACTCGGTCCCCGCGCCGCCCGCTCACCACGGCCACAGGTACACGACCAGCAGCAGCGCCAGGTCCACCAGCACGAACAGCCAGAGGTCCAGCCAGTACGAGTGCGCGGGCAGCCGCCCCGCCGCCGCCGCCGCCGCCGGCCGGGCCTGGTGGTTCTGCTGCGGCGCCGCCGCGGCGCCCGGCCCTCGCCGCTCGCGGGGCCCGTTCCGGCCGTCCCCCGCCGCCGCGCGCCCCTCCATGGCGCCTCCACCGCAGCCGGAAACCGCGGCCCGCTTCCGCCTCCCCGCGCCCATCGGGGAGCCCGGCCGCCGCCTGCGCATGCGCCTTGCCCCGCCCCGGAAGTGGCCCCGCCCCGCCCCGTGACCGCGGGCAGGCGGCGTGGAGGGCGGGGTGGCCGACGCCCACCGGGCGCTCCTTCCGGCCCGCCCCGCCGCCCGAGGCCTCCGGGCGGGAAGCCGGCCTTTCCGGTTTCCCTAGAAGTGTCCGGCCGGGCCGGAAGTAGCCCTCAGGCCCCGTTCCCGGCGGTGACGGCCCCAGCGGCGCGGCGCACGGCTGCCCCTCCGCGTCCTCCGTCCCCCCATCCCGGCGGCTCCGGGCTCTTCCCGCGGCCCCGCCCGCGTGCTCTGGGTTTGTGCGCAGTTGGAATCCCGCTGGCCGGCGCGAGCCTGGGGCCCGGGCGGAAGGGCAGGCACCTCGCGGGCGCGAACTTGAGTGGAACCGGGGTTGCCCGGGCCCGGCCGGCTGGGAGCGCCCAGGACGGAGCTTGGCCGCTGCACCGGCAGGAACCCCTCGCTCCTCTGGGTCCCAGATTGCTGCCAGGTGACGGGCTCCCCGGAGAGCGTCTTCCGGCCCAGACCTCACGGGTCCGCCCCCAAAGGGCCGGGGCAGAGGCCACCTCACCTGGGCCGCCGCGGACGAATCGGGTGAATCACGGGAGGAGAGCGGGTTTGCCCATAGGGGCTTCTCGCCACTCCTCGCCCCTGTCCTCCTGGGCCAGGGGCACCTCATCTCGTTTCAGGAAGAGGAAGGAAGGTCCAGTGCCCTCCGTGCACCTGCTGTTTCTAAAGAGCGTTGAGCTCAAAACAGTCCCTTTGCCCAGTGGCCTCGTTGGGGGTGACAAGCGCTGGACTCCTCCACTTCCCGATGGTCAGAGCGGCCGACCAGGTGGCTGTGGACAGAGGGTGGGGTTGCTGGCAAGGGTTCTCAGATTAGAATGGAAGGAGTAAAGTGGAAGCTTGCAGATCTGAGCACATTTCCCCACATCCCGTTAGATCCAGCCTCCGTCCCAGAGGCCCATTTATCGGATGGAGAGCGTTCACCGTGTCCTTCAGAGGGTTCCTGTCGGAGGTTTCTTCCCAGAGACGTGCACAGAAGCAGTGTTCCCCCCAAGATTGCACAGCCCCTCTCTCGGGCTGTCCGAGTGACCAGGCGAGGGGCATGTGGAGGACTGCAAAGCTGACTATGCACCTCTGAGCACTGTGCTCCCAGGATGTGCACAATGATAGCAAACTTGCTCTGTTTCTCTGGGAAGATGTAGAACTGCCTTTACTAACTGACGGGTTCCCAAGCCTGGGGAAAGGGATCTCAATGCTGAAAAGAACTTAGGACTGTGAGGCACAAGCCAGTTTCCTATAACATCTCTGTATGTTTACGTGGCACTACTTTAAGGACAAAGGGTTCAGGTTGTAATTTGGCCGATCCTGAAGGCGGAGTGCCTGGTGACCAAGGGCGTCAAGAATCCGAGTCCATATCGTCCTAGCCATCTGGGCGGGGACCTCTGTATGCCTTGTCAGCACAGGAGATGAAAGGCCAGTGTTGTTCATGGCTGAGATCCGACAGGAACGTGTGACCATCAGGTCGGGGTGGTGTGTCCTGTCACCTGTCGTGCTGGCATCTGCACATCTCCATCCCTGTGTGTGGAGCAGAGCGGGCTGTGGAATAATGACATGGGAGCTAGCTACAAGGCTTGGTTTTATTACCTGAGCATCTCAGTCCGGATTGTTGGTCTACCCATAGGTAATGTTTGGTTTTTTGGCAACTAGTCAGGGAAGCCACTGAGCTACCTAAGGTTGCACAAGCATGGCTGGAGAGCCACACGTCACAGCTAATGATTTGGCAAGTGTCCATACCGTAAGAAGCCACACTGAGACTGTTTATAACCGTGAGAGGCTTGAGGATGCTCCCTGTGGAATCAAACCCAGGTGGCTGCAGTGCTGCCTGGTACTCGACCCAGGCAAGGCCAGCACCGTGCCGCATTCAGTGCAAAATGCCCTTCTAATGTGTCTGCCCTCGCCGAGACAGTCCTTGAGCTTCTAAAGGCATTTCTGTGTGGTGTGTGTGTGTGTGTGTGTGTGTGTGTCTACAATTGGCTCACCAAAAGAAGAAGTGACGCTGTTTTGGTCATGGAGGCCACACGTTGCCATTCATCCAGTTTCCGGAGTTGATCCTCCAGAACCTCCCATTGGCAGGAACACAAATGAGTGTTTTCGCTCCTGCCAGTGGTCTAATTGTTGACATAGCCAGCACTCAGACTGATTAGCGAATGTGGCCAGGGTTTGGAAAGTTGGTACAGGAGATGTCTGTGCTTGACCTTTTGAGAAATCAGTACGAGTTTAAGTTCATAAGAGTGAGACACAGCTTGGGGAAGAGCCATGGTGAAGAACCAGATGGAAAACAGCAAGCTCATGTCAGCCTTTTCAGAAAAGGCTGAAGGAAGTGGAGGTTTGGTTAAAAGGAAGATCCCTCTCTGTGTATTTCCCTGTAGAAGTACGGAGACCCAATAGGGGAGGAAGGAGGTGGAAATGAAGTTTCTTGATCTGTGATCTTGGGAAGAGCTGTCTGCTTCGTGCTTGTGTCTGCCCCTGGGGTGTGGGAATTGGTCCAGGAGTCCTGACTTCAAGGTCACCTTTTGATAGTCTTCTAATGATCCTGGGAGTGCTGGCCACACCAAGCTAGTGTGGCTTATGTGAATCCTAAGTACTGTTTTCTTCATTTTGATGGCAGTAGGTCGTGAGCATCTCCTAAGGATTTCTTCATAGCTGTGATGTATGTCCCATCTCCAAGTCAAAAGGGATGGCAGGGCTTAGGTCAGTGGAGGCCACGCCCTTTTACCTGTTGATGCTATCCTACAGGTATACTAGTTAGTTCCTGCAGGAATTGAGTCACTGATGCCAGGAATGGGAGGATCAGAGAAGCCAGGAGGCACAGGCAACCAGACACTCTTCCAAAGGGCAACCCATGTCTTTCACCTGGGGGTTCTGTGAGGACCATGGGGAGCGTGCTGGCCGGGGAGTCCAGGTCCTGACAGTTTCCATAAAGCCTGATTCCTGGACTTCTGGTTCCATTTGCCCTGAGGATTGGGGTTGGAAATGAAATATTGGTGGGTACGCCAGCGTTTTTGCAAGGAAGTGGTTTATTTCTGCTGTACAGTGGGCTCCCGGGTCTGAGTCATTCCATCCAGGAACATCATGTCTGGATGTTCTCCGCTTCTGTGGCCCTTTGCGCACATCTCTCTGCCTCTGTGGCGTCCGTCCACCAGTCCATCCACCAAATGTACAGGCCAGAACCAGTGGGAAGAGCCCACAGTGGAGGCAACTCTAGGGTCTGCTTTTAGTGCTGCATGGGCAGTGGGGTAAGGAGGGCATTTCCTCACCCCAGGTTTGGGAACTAGGGCGGATGGCCCTGGCTAGACACTGAGACCCTGGCCCTCGGACAGAAGCCGCAGAAGGTAGGGATTGGCCTGTGTCAGTCTCCAGCTCTGCCTGCAGGGCCCGACCAAGCGGAGTGGCCAGTCTGTCTTCGCCACGCCCCTTCTGGACTTAGAGTGGCCAGAGAAAACGTGCGGCCAGTTCTCAGGAAGAGTGACCCGGTCTCTCTCATGAGGACTCCTGTTTCTATTTCTGACGGCTGTAAGGAAAGGAGGGCTTAACAGCTGACCTCTCTAGACCCCAGCGCCCTCAGAGGGTTCATTTTTGCCTTCTGCGGACAGCACCCCTCAGTCGCGCCCAGAGCTCACCACTGGCCTCAGCAGAGGACTGGACGGGCTTTGTGGGCACGGCGCAGCATCAGCCCCATCCTGAGCGAGGCTCGCTCTCTCCTGGCACCTCTGCGGGCTGCCTACTCATGGTCCATATCTGGGCCACCCCAGCATCCTTAGGCCCCTGTCCCATTCCCTTCTCCATCATTGCCGCTTTACATCCGTGACAGTTCTCTTTGAGAGCCGGGCAGTTGTAACCAGTGCTGTTGGTTGCAGCTTCTCTACTGTCTTCGTCTTAGCCTCTCGCACTCCCATCCCTCACCCCACTCAGCCCAGTGCCCAACAGCATGTCTGCTCAGCCACTCGGCACCCGAGTACCCCATATCCAGGGCACCCCTGCTCAGCCCTGGCCCTTGCCCCCATGCCCAGAGCACCCCTGCTCAGCCACTCAGCCCCCCGGGCTCAGAAGAACCCCTTACAGCACTGTCCTCGGGACATGACCTTGGGACTGAACTTCCTCCCTTGCCAGACTCCCCTTGCCACACTTACTACTGGGCGGGACTTACCTCCCTCTTCTCTTCCTGGTGGCCTAGCTGCCACTGAAGGCAGGACTTCCACGGCGTCCTCAGTGGGAGTGGGGAAGGGTCAGGAAAGCCCTGGAACACTCTTCTGATAATTTGCTCCATGGTCCTACATTTTGCAACTTCTGCCATTTCCTGCTGATTCTGCCTACTGATTGTGATGTTTCTTCCACCTACTAGCCTGAGGTGATGAACTTGGCAGTCATAAGTTTACATCACCTTGCACGTCAGTACATGCTACATATCAGTACACAGTGAATGAGTGTCACCCTGCACATCCACACAGAATGAGTGTTACCCTGCACATCAGCACATGCAGAATGGGTGTCACCCTGCATGTCAGCACATGCCGAACAATTATCACTATATCAGCACATGCAGAACGGGTGTCACCCTGTACATCAGCACACACAACTACCCTGTATGTCAGCACAGAAGAACCAGCGTCACCCTTCACGTTAGCACATGCTAAATGAGTGTCACTCTTCTATATGTTAGCACATGTAGAATGAGTATCAGCCTGCAAGTCAGCACACGCAGAATGAATGAATCTGTTGATGACATTTTTTTTAAAGGAAGGGAGAGGGATAGAAACATGCATGAGAGAGAAACCGATCAGCTGCTTCCTGCACACCCCTACTGAGGATGTGCCTGCAACCAAGGTACATGCCCTTGATCGGAA